TCATAAGCGGTGACCGGTGACCGTTCACAGACTCAGACACAAAAATCCCGAAGATGTGGAAGTGACCCCAAATTTCCAGGCTATTTTTGTATCCGAAAACCCCAAGGCTTTTGAGGTGGCTCGGCAGGTAAAGGTGTCCGCTGGCCAAGCTTGAGTTACCTGCGTGAGTTTGATCTCCACAGCCCCTGTGGTGGAAGGAGTGAGCTGGCCCCGCCCCCCGACCTCCACACAAACGTCATAGGCATTATCCCTGCAGGCGAATAGATGAAAGATATCCTTCTAAATTTATAAAACCTGGAGGCATCCATGGCTCCAGCCACACTCGTGGCTTCACAAGGAAAGCACGGGACCCTATAGCCTCTAATTCTTGTTAAAGGTGAATTTGTAAACCAAAATTATAGTGTAATAAGGGGATCGTAAGAGAGCCATTATACAGACTACATGGAAGAAGTGAATAATTCTGGGTAATACAGGAGAGACATAGTCTTTGGAAAATACGTCTTTTTGTTGTTTTGGTTTTGTTTGTTGCTTTGAGATAGGGTCTGTAGCTCAGGCTGGTGCGGGAACTCACCTTGTAGCCAAGGACTTTTGTCTTCCAAATGCTAAGGTTACAGATTGGTCCCACCACTCAGGACTTGGCAGTGCTGGCTTCATTCTTAGTAGGCTAGCACACTGACAGCTGAGCCACAACCAAGCTCTGGAAACATGTCTAAACTACCTGAAGAAATTTCAAAACTGGGACTTGAGTACATAAAGTCAGATAAAACATTACCAAGAGGGCTCAGTGGTTAAAAGCATTGCCTTCTTCTCTTCCAAAGGTCCTGAGTTCAGTTCCCAACAACCACATGATGATTCACAACCATCTGTAATGAGGGCTGGTGCCCTCTTCTGGCCTTCAGGCATACATGCACACAGAATAGTGTATACATAATAAATAAATAATTTTTTTTAAAAAAAAATTACCAAAAAAATGGATGGAGTCAGGCAGAGTAGCTCATGCCTGTAACCTCAGTGTTTGAGAGACTGAGCCACGAAGACCACAAGCCCAAGGCCATCCTGGACTGCTTTTAAAAAATAGGTCTGTTTCTAGCTTTTTGATAATGGACTAAACCTCTGAACTGTAAGCCAGCCTCACTTAAACGCTTTCCTTTATAAGAGTTGCTGTGGTCACGGTGTCCCTTCACAGAAATAGAAACCCCAAGACACGAATAATACTTGAATTCCTTTGTCTACTCTGTTTCTGGCTCTAGTTTATCTTCCCTGTCCTGTATACGCCAAATCTTTACTAAGTCTTTTATAGTGAGGACAGATTCCAGTCCAATCAGGGCTGCGGAGTGAGACCCTGTCTCAAAACAATAACAACAACAACAACCCCCAAACCACCAGCATCACCAGCAAAGCAAAGCAACAAATTTTTTAATTTGTTTGCCAGAGGAAATTTCAAGGCAGTTTAGCATTCAGCCTGAAATCATATTTACCTAGGTCAACAGTTAAAAAAAAGAGCAACAGGTGGAAAGAATTTTTTGTTTAATTCATAATTTGTAAAGAGAGAGGAGAGAGAGAGAGAGAGAGAGAGAGAGAGAGAGAGAGAGAGAGAGAGAGATTGGGCAAGTTTAAGTTATAGTCAAGACATACACTAAAAACAAGGCTTAATTGTCCAAGAGAAATCATCTGCTCTTCACTTGGACAAACGCCATGAGGGCAAGGCTCCACCCATCAAAGGCTGCAGCTTTTGTTGCAGAGCAAAAATTCATTTGAAAGCAGAGCCCAAGCTGAGAATGCTAGCCGGAGGGGGTCCTCGCTTCTGGGAAGCAACTACCTGAGGAAGCCCTATGGTTAGCAAGAATAGGCCGCTCTAGCCGCTCTAGCCGTGGTCCAAGAAGGCAAGGCTCCACCCTGAGCTGGCAGTAGAACTTAGAAATGCTATCTCCACGGCACTAGTCGGGTAGGCATGGGAGAGGCAAGATTAAGGAGATCATGGACTCTCCTACCATAGATTCAGAGAGCAACTGAGCCTAGGCAATACTGCAGGGTTGGAGGTGTTGGGACCATTTGGAGTCCTGGCCTCCAGCTGCTCTTCCCTGCTAGAGATCTTTACTTCTGATTTGAGTTACTGGAAGCTGTGTCAAAGTTGTTTACCATCTCTGCTTCAAGAGCATGTGTTGCCTTGGCCTTGAGGATCAGAGGATGAGGTTTTCACCTGTTGACCCACCTGACTGTTGGGTATATGAGCCTCCATGGTGCTATTGAATAAGGGCTTCTTACCAGTGACTAGAGGTCCGTGTCTCTGTCTGTGTGTCTTTGTATGTTTCAACCTGCAGCCCCTTGCCTGAAGCTCACGAACTGTATGGTAGTTGATAGAGCGCAGACAGGAGGTCCTGAGATGCTGATGTCTGAAGCTGTGAAAGTGAAGTCCAAGCTGCAGCAGAGACGTTGGAGATGCCAGAATCATGGAAAGTCTGTCAAAGACTCCGGGTGTGGAGTGGAGCTGATGAGAGAAGCCGTGAGGCTGGAGAGATGGCTCCGTGGTTAAGAGCATCTGCTTCTCTTGCAGAGGACCTGGGTTCAGTTCCCAGCACCTCTGTGACAATCGACAACTGTCTGTGACTCCAACGGAACTCCACTTGCGGAGGATCCAGTGTCTTCTGGTCTCTGGGCACTGCATGCATGTATGCAGGATGTGCACTTGGGTATATGCAGGCGAAACATTCATACACAAAATGAAGAGATAAAACTTTCTTTTAAAGGGACTCTTTGTGTCCTGCAGGCAGCATAGCAGGAGGGCCAGGATACCTAGACCCTTTAGAACCCAGATGATTTCATCATGAGCTGCAGATGCCTGACGTGGAGGTGCAGAATAAGATGTTTGCTCTGTAGGGATTTGGTCTGCTTTGGTTTGATCTTTCCTAGTTCTCCCCTTTGGAAAGAGAATGTTCCCTCTGTGCCAGCGTATGTCACAAAGTTTCTGTTTTATAGGGGTTCACAGCTAAGGGATTGCCCTGGTCTCAGAAAAGACACTTTTGAGTAGAATTGGGGCTGTCAAAGATTATGGGGACTTTTGAAGTTGAACTAAACGCATCTACATTATGAGATGGCCGTGATCTTATAGAAACACGAGGTGGAAGGTAATTGTTTTAAAGTCTAATTAATTGTTGAGTTGTTAAGTTGACAAGGAGTGGAGTTGTGAAGGCTAATTTTTTCAGTTGGATGGAATTCAGAATCACCTTGGAGACACATCTTTGGACATGTCTGGGAGTGGTTTTCTAGATTAAGTTAACTAAAGTGGGAAAACCCACAGTAACTTCCCAACCAGTTAAAAAAAAAAACGCAAAAGGGAGGTGGGCTCTAGCGTTCATCTTTCTCTTTGCTTCTTGTCTGTAGATGCAATCTATCAATCCCCTGCCTCAGGGTCCGCTGCCATAAATCCCCTGCCTCAGGTCATGCTGCTTTAAATCCCCTGCCAAGACAGGCCAAGAAACTGTGAGTTAAAACAAACCCTTTAAATTGCTTGTGCAAGGATACTGTCACACTGCAAGACAAGTAGCTAATACACTGAGTGTGCACACCACACCATCAGAAACACACATGGCATGCCTTAAATTCGTATTAATCATTAATCCTGCTAGTTAATATTACCCAGGGTTCCCTCACTGTTATTCTGGCCTTTCCAAATCTACCTCCGTGTGTCAAAACGGTTTACCTGTCCATTTCCCTGTTCCTTTCTTTCTTCGCAAATATCCCATATCCTGTAGCTAACGGTATTTGCCTGGCCCTGTGAGTGTCTCTGTGTACGGTAAAAATATCTAGCTTATCATTTTAACTTGGGTCATAGCTTCTTAGTGTGAATAGGAGCGGGTTTTGTTTAAGATAAGCAATACGCTGCTTTTCAGTGATAAAATTCTTTGATTTCATGTATCATAGCCAATTTTCTCAGGATATATGCTAGAAAATTAGTCTAAGTAAAATGAAATTGAGTCAACGCCAAAAATTATTCTAAAATCCTGAAGTTAACAACACACACACACACACACACCACACACACAGAGAGAGGGAGAGAGAGAGAGAGAGCGAGAGAGCGAGACCGAGCGTTTTGAAGCTGTTATAGGTATTGCAAACGGGTTTTGTCCTGCCTTAAAAAAAAAAAAAAACCCTCCTTTGTGTAAAGACAAAGTGAAATCCTTCTAAATGAAAGCTTGGACAAAATCGCCTTCCAACGCCAGTATAGAACCGACCCCCCAGAGACATGGGGGATCCAGAGAGCATCAGTTAGTGTCAACCTCATCCAGCATAAACCAACTGGGAAGTCCATGCTGGTGGGCATTTTCGTAGTGTCTTTTAAAGACCACCCCTCGCGTGACTTAGACTTCCACCTAGAACAGGGTTTCCTCTGGGTCTTGTTTTAATGAGCCGTTGCTTTCAAGTGTTATTACCTACATAGGGCCCCAAGTTGGTGGTCTAAGAGGCCGGGTGAAAGCGATTTGTCTCCTCCGGAGTCAAGCTAACTAACTGGTCCAAGAAGGCTTGGGATGAAACGGCGGCGACCCGAGGCAGTTGGAAATCGATCAGGAAAGGATTTTTTTTTTTTTTAAACTGTTGCAGGGAATGGTGTCTGCGATGTGACAGCCACTGGACAAGTTGTGCTGCCCGCCTCCCTTGTCCAGTCAATACTGGATCATAAACATTCTCTGCACTCCGGGGCGTTATCCTTGGCCCTGGCCAAAGCCTTTGGTACCCACCCGGCCCATCCCCCCCCCTCCTGCCTCTGGGATCCCGCGCTCCCATCCCTTCTCCCTTCCTCCTCACCCCATTTCCCTTTTTTCCTCGCCCCCTCCCGTTTCTCTCCACTCCCTCCAGCCCAGCCCACTCCGGTTTCCCACTCCAACTCCCCGGGGCGCACGTTCGCGCTCCCGCGGCAAACGCCACCTCCGTGGGCGGCGCTGCGGGCTGGCTGTGCGCAGGCGCGCTGAGCGGGACGGGCGAAGGGGAGGGGCTGCTGGCGGTCTCCGCGCACGCGCGCGCGCGCGCGGCTGCTCTGCTGGGCACGGCTTGGTACGGGCGGCTTTTCCCTGGCTCGGTCTGGGCGGCTGGGCTTGGACGGCCGTGGAGCGGCGCTCAGCAGCACCATGTTCCTGCCCTCAGTCAGCCTCTGGAACCTGGCGTTCTATGCCTTCATGGTGGTCCTGGCCACCCTGGGGGTGTGGGATGTCTTCTTCGGCTTCGAGGAGAACAAGTGTAGCATGAGCTACATGTTCGAGTACCCCGAGTACCAGGTACGGCCCTCCCTCACCTGCTCCTCGCCCGCTCCCCTCGGGCTCAGCCCGAACGGAGCCCTCCGGGCACTTGCAGCCAGTCTCCTGCCTCGTGCCGGGTAGGGCGTCCTGTGCTCGCCTCCTGGGCCCCTCGCCCCCTTCCCCCCCATTCCTGCGCTCCCAGACCCGGGACCCCGACTTCTGACCCGCTGGACAGTGCATCTCTCTCTCATCCCCGGAGAGCCATCCCCGGGTCCCTGTCCCTAAACTAATCCTCCTCCGACACTCCTTTGCTTGCACGGAGATGGATTCTCTTCACGCCCAGTGATGGACATGTCAGATTTCGCTTTTCTGGAAAGAAACCCCGCGTCTGCAGAGTTGCCAGGGCTGATCTAAAAAGAGGCTCCAGGGTTTTATCTCTGGGTGAAGTGAAAGGCTGCCCTGGTGAATAATTAAACTGGATCCGGTTTAGTTCCCTCCTGTGGAGATTTTTTTGCGGATCCACCTGTTCTGTAGGTTCTGAGTCCGTGGGTGTGTGTACCTGTGTTTTCGCAAGCCTCTGAACAGCCGGTGACTTGCACTATTAAGATACCTGTTATCATCAGTTGCACGCGCACTCAGTTTCGTGCCATGATTTTGTTTTCTCGCTGGGTTTAACAGGCGCTGCCTCCCCTCTCGCCGCCCCCACCTCCTCCGTTTTAATTTGAATGCTTTCAATTAATTGCTTCATTTGTTCTGCGTAGTAGAATCTAGGATTTCATTCATGACCAGCTGTAGAAAGAGACGATGACAGATCGATTACACAGCTGTTCGGGGGAAATTTCCCTCCCATGATATTTTTGTTAAGATTTCGAAACGAATCTCTTAATTTTGGAACATCTATTATAACTCCTATAAAATATACACGATAGGTTTTGATAACGTGCGTTCTTAGTCAACTTCTAAGATCATTGCGGATTTTCCTGTAGGATGAGGAGTGAACGTCAGGATTGCTCCTGTGTTTAGGTCCTTATAGAGGGGGCCTGTTTGGTTGCCTCTCTTACTTGCATTTAGAAGGTGAGGTTTAAATTGGTGGGGATCATGCTTTTCCATGGATATTTTGTAGGACCAGCGTTCTTACCTTGATTTTTGCATCCGTGGCTATGAGGGAATGGGAACACTGGATTTCAGATGCTCTTGGAGATTTTAACAAGTTACTGCTAATTCCAAAGCCAATGAACTGATGTGATGTTGGTTTCTGTGCATTCGCATCTTAGTAGTTAAATATACGAACTTTAGTTTTCTTAAACTGGAAGTAGATTTTATTATAATTTCATTTTATTGCCTGGCCTTTCATAATTGGGAAACTCTCAGTGGATTGAAGTAGGCCACTTTGGTTTAGTCCTGTATTAAATACAGACTTTGGTTAAAAGGCTATCATTTTGGAACAATCGCTTCCATTTATTATTGACTCTATTTTAATATTTTCAGTAGTAGGAGCGCCTTCCTTCCCGCTGGGCGCAAAGCATATGGCGCTCACAGATGCATCGCCTGCCTCGTGGAATTGACTAGAAAGAGAAAATTAGTGTCTCTCACACACAAGAGCTGTTGGGCTTTGGGTTGAGTTAGTGAGCATTTAGTTCTTTTGGTTCGATTGCCTTTTCCGAGCCTGACACATTGATTTCTGAGTATAGTAATCCCAGTGGTAGAAGTTTTGGCAACATATTTTTAGCAGATGATTGTTTTTTTTTCCTTTTGCTTTGAATGAGTCGGGTTATTTTACAAAACAGAATTAAGAATTACCTATAGAAATGAGCCCTTTGGCATAAATAATGAGACTTTTAAGATAACCGAGCTCATTCGGTTAACAGCCAAATGGTTTTCATAGGAGTAAAAAGGTTCCAAGTATAGTTTATGTATCGCCAGTAGCTTATGTATTGTGAATGGTTTATATATCGTCTGCGGTTGGTAGATCGCCTTTTAAAGTAGCGTTTCCCCGCACCTTTCTGATTGTTCACGGTTGGTGTCCCTTGGTGGGCGTGTCCTACGCGTTACGTTTTCATCTTCCTTGAGGCCTTTTTTGTCTTTCTTTTAAAAACATTGCTCATTTGTACCTTTCTTCATCATCGGAAAATGATCAATGGCATTCCTTCTTTTCTTCAAGTGAGAGAGGAATTTGGAACTCTGCAAAAAATGAACTTTCGAGTTTAACATTGTTGATTATCTATACAGAGAAACTCTGTCTCAAAAAAGAAAAAAAAAAGGTTTATTTTCTTTCCTGGTCCCTTGCCTGTAATTTCCTGGATGCTCTGATTTGGAGTTAATGGATTGTTTCTCGGTCAGAGCTTGAGTCTATCACGTCACTTAAAGCTTCCTGCCTTATAATGCCAGTAGGGCCACACTGTTGCCTGGCCGCATGTAATTTTAGACTAACTGTAGAGTTTGAGAAGAAACAGCCGAGTTCTTTTCTCTCGTGTGGATGTGGCCTAACGATTGTGCTCTGAAAGGAAATGCTGATGCGGAAAACATAAATCACATTTTAAAATAAAGCGTGCTGGTGTTTCTTATTTTGTTTTCGGGATGATAGCGTGCTGGTGTTTATTTAGACGACGGTCACTTCTTGAATGCCTGGGTATACTTGGCATGAGGGAATTTAGTGATAAAAGCCCCTATCCCTGTCATGTTTATATTTTAACAAAAAGAGAGACAAGAATCTAAAAACCAGTTATCATATAATAAAGCAAGAGTCTGTGTACGAGACTCTTCGGGGAAGAGAGACTATCCTTGTTTGTACTGGGTTTTCAAAGGCTTTTGAAAAGATGAGAATTGAGGGGCTGAAGAGATGGCCCAGAGGCTAAGCACTTGTGGCTCTTGCAGAGAACTCGGGAGCAGGTCCCAGAACCCACGTGGTGTCTTAACAGCCATACTTATCTCCAGTTCCTGGGGATGCAGCACCCTCTTCTGGCTCCATGGTGCCATGCAGGCAAAACATAAAATATAAAAACTAAATGAATTGGTGGCAGGGTGTGAATTTGGACATATAGGTCATTTGGTTAGGATATAGAGGAAGGCAGGCATCAGAACCTATTATCCGGTCAACATTTATAATAATAATAATAATAATAATAATAATAATAATAATATATAATATAATGATTTCGAAGGGAGAAAATAATCTATAAACATATTCACCTGTATGTGTCCAAAATATTTGGCAGCACACGTGAGTTGATTGACGTTGGTTGTCGTCTGGGATGGGAGGAACTGGATAGCTGAGGGACATTGGGTAAGAGACATTTTTTTTAATGCATTTCCTTTCAAAATTGAAAAAAAAATCAAATATATTAAGCCCAAATTTTAAAACATGGCCTGTATAAGTTATAAGAATGAGGCAGATGTCAGAATCAAATTTTAAAAGCTCCCTCCTCCGAAGGATTTATGTTTTGTGTGTACAGTATGGAAACACACGGGGTATGTGTTTGATCAAGAAATTTTGGTAGCAGTGTGGACTGGATTGGAGCGCAGAGATTCTGACAAGAAGAAAGGCCTGTCTGAAAGGTTACATTATGTGTAGGTGTTTTTGCCCATTCTATATCAAACAGGAGTCCCTAGTACTACTCTTAGGAGTAGCCAAGGAAGAGCTTCAAAATTGCATTTATTTTGATACATACTTTTTCCTTTTTGGTTATATCATGACTATCAAACTTTTATCATTCTTCTTTACAGATGAAAGATAGGTCACGCACACATGCACACACACACGCACATGCATACATGCACACACACGCACATGCATGCATGCATGTGCACACACACACACGCACACACACACACACTATAAAACAAGGCCTCTGCCTCCGTAAGGCAGCATCCTTCAGCAGGTGAGGGGTTGTTAGGACGCTTGTGTTTTGGAAGGGATGTAAGTTGGTGATGCGGACAGTGTGAGGGGCGGTAAAGGCACGGCAGATGGCAGGGTCGGGATCGTGGATGTAATATGTCACGTGAAGGTCGCTGATCTTCATTAAAGGGCGCTTGTGGGTGAGAGTCTGATTGTTTCAAACTGTCCGTGTATAAGATAATGTATCTTGGAGCCATTTAGCAGGTTTCTCTATGCTTCCTTTTTCTCCTCGGCGTCCCTTCTGTGGGTTCACACGTCGCCAGGCGCGTTAGCTGCCTTTTGTCTCCTGGACACTCACTTGTGCTCTGCCTGCTGTCGTTTTGCCATTTGCCTGCCATTCCTGCTTCCCTTTCTGCTCCCCACTATGGACTCTCCATCTCCTACCTTTCCCCACCTGTATGTTTTTAATATATATATATATAGTTAATTTTTCATGCTATTAATATTTTTACAACAAAATTGCCCCAAAAATAATATGCTATGAAATATGCCAATATGTTGTTTTACCTGCTTTTCATCTTTAATTGTTTCTTTAGATATATTTGGTAGTTTGTTTTCTGAATTAATATTCAGCTTAACTCAAACTTTGTCTACTAAACTAGAAAGTCACGACTATTACGCATGCGGCATTGCATCAAGTCGTGTCCTTATTTGGGAGCAGTTCAGGAATTATTTCTTTATTCTGTTATATTTTCTTTTTGCTTGGTTTGTACTCCAGTAAATAAGATATTGCATCATTTCGTTTTTACTTGCACTCTGCATAAATTATTGGAACTAATTTGGCTTCGAGTCCCAGTGTGCTTGTACAGCAGATAGCGCTGGTTCTTCTGGTTTTTGGTGTATTGGAGAGGGCAACTGAAACTGCTCATCCCTTAAATAATAGGCACATGGCAGTCCTGTAGATGCCCCTGGGGTGTGGTTGGTCCAGATTATGGTAATAGCCTTAAAGGAATAGTCTGGAATCTACACAGATGATTCGAATTTTTTTTTTTAGATTTTTTCAGCAGTATTAACATTTACAGGTTTTGAAATTTTTACGCTAAAATATTTCATCAAGTACGTATGTGTTTGACATTGCTAGATTGTTAATGTATTGATACTGCTTAAATCTATGATTCAATATAATTGTTATTTTTGAAAGGGGCACCCTTTTTTTTAACACTTTATTTTCGTTGTACGTGCACTGGTGTTTTGCCTGCATGTCTGTGTGAGGACGACGGATCGCCTGGACCTGGAGTCATAGACAGTTGCGAGCTGCCATCTGGGTGCTGGGAATTGATCCTGGGTCCGCTGGAAGAGCAGTCAGTGCTCTTAACCGCGGAGCCATCTCTCCAGCGCCCAATGACTTGTTGTTAATAATTTCTGTTATTAAAAAGAGAAAGAAAGGAAACACCAGGTAGGACGATGTACGCCTGTCATTCCCAACAGTCGCTAGGGAACATGGGGTAGCACAGTAGCGAGTCAAGACAGCCGAGCCTATGTAGTGAGAACCGGCCTCAAAGGGGGGTGGGAGCAGAAGAGCTTACACTTTGTACATCTTTGATGGATCCTGTCCTTTGGGGAGGACATTAGTACCGGATAGATGTTATACTGGATTGAATTCTGTATACAACTTTAGGATTTGCCAAAGTAGCTTAAGACTTGCTCACAGTCCGGGTGCTGGCCCCTGGTGTGGAAGAGCTGCTAATTCAATGGTAAGAAGAATGTTCATCTCTTGATTGTCAAGTTCAGGTAATTTTGTTATTTTGTTAAACCATCATAGTTAAAGCACTGAGATCTCAGAAGGTTTTATTGTCAAGCCAACTTCCTGGGGCTGTGGAATTAGTTTCGCAGAGGAAGGGCTTGCCTAGCCATCATGAGGAAGGCTGGAGCTCATCCACAGAGCACAGGTACATAGCTGGACAGGGTAGTCTGTGTTTGTAACCCCAGCGCCGGGGAAGCAGAGGAAGGCCAGGCAGTCTAGCTGAATCTGCGACCTCCAGGTTCAGGTGGAGAGTCGAGGAAGATACCCACTGTTGGCCTCCGGCTTCCACGTGCACACGCACACATGCATCTGTATATGCCTGTGCGCACATGTGAACACATGTGCGCGTGCACACACATACAAATGAATGTATGTGTGCACACACCACAGCTGCAGTTCGTCGGGGGGCCTGAATAAAAAGGAGATACTTTAGAAAGGAGTTTAAAATTACAAAAAGAATTGATTTGATCGTGGAAAGCGTTTACCATCGTTTTAAAGTATAATTGATAACTGATTAAATGAAACGCATTTCCGGTTATGCTTATGAAATTTTCTGACATATACCGGTGACATACAGCTGTTGTCAGGCACTGTTTAGACTAATGGGCATGCGCTAGAATCTCAACTATATGTGTTTGAAGTTTACACCATTCAAGATCCACATAATATAAGAGTAATCTCCTGCTCGAAACACGGCAAGGAGAACTTGTTTTGTGCCTCGAGTGTGGTTAATACCGCTGGTGATCTTTTTCTGTTGCACGATTTCAAAGTTCTTTAGTTTACGTTTGCGTTGAATCTGCGTTGTATTAACAAAAGTGATTAAAGTGGACTTATTTGTTTATTACTTCCTTTCTGTAGAAAATCGAACTCCCGAAGAAGCTGACGAAACGCTATCCATCCTACGAGCTCTATCTGTATGGAGAAGGGTCTTACGCCGACGAGCACAAAGCTCTCCCTTTGACAGGAATTCCTGTTCTCTTCCTTCCTGGTAATGCTGGCAGCTACAAGCAAGGTAGGTGCTGGAAGGGCGGATTTAATGCTGTGAAATTCAGACTTCGGAGGGTGTGTGTCCTGCCTGAATCAAGCAGGGATTAGATGAAAAGCGTGTCCCGCTACCTCCTGGGAGAGCCACGGGAATGCCACCTCCTTCACGGGAAAACACACAGTGAAATACAAGGAAAAGACAAGATGAAGATGACTTAGGATGAGAAGAGGCAGATGCCCAGGGTAGGGGGAATAGATTAGCCAGGTATTCAGGACGAGCAGAAGGAAGGCTCGCACTGGAAAATAAGTTAGAGAGAGAGAGAGTAGAATCCGAAGCTTCAGCAGGGAGAACAGTACCTTATATCATGCTGCTGAATGGGACCAGATCAGTGTCTTTCCCGGGTTGGAGCCTGTCGCAGTGTGGAGGGGTTACAGAATGGCGGGGAGAAGGAAGTGATGTGTTCAGGCTCCAAACTCAGCGTTGGCTTGGAGAATGTCAGGAGTTTCTGGCCTAACAGGCAGACATCCCAGTCCTTAAGTCATTACACACAGAGTCTGTGTTGGTTCTTACAAACATTCCAGGAATTGTTAAGTAATGAACCCACAATCGTTTCAGCATGTATGGTGATTCCTTAAGTTTCTTTTTGATTTTCATATACGAAACACTTGTGGCATATTGGTCCTGGGCCAGGGAGTATTCTAGGTATGGTTCAGAGTAGAACAGGACAGCAAGTCCCTCCCTCGTCAAACACATGTTCTTAAGAGAAGACAGCCACCAGTGGAGGTTTCAGTAATATTAAAAGCTACAAGAAATAAATCCGTAAATCACTGAAGGGGACAGAGGGTACGTAACAGGAAGGAGACCTGTTTAGATGAGGGGGTCAGGAAAGGCCGTGGCAGGGAGATGGTGTTTGAGGGGAGCTTGAGCAGTACAGTTTGGGGAAGTTCCTGATGCAAGACTATATCCGGTGCCCTGAGGACCATAGGTCACAGGACTAGAGAAAAATGAGCTGAGAATGGGGAGGTCGCTATGACCTACAGATAAGATCTGGAAAGACTGAATGTTTATTTGAGAAGGATATGAAACATGGGTGCTTTGGGGGAGAAATGATATCATCTGATTTTTGTTGCTAGCTGTCACGCTTGACATGATACACTTTCAGTTATTACAGAGTGAATTTACAGAGAACGAAAGCCTCAGTGAAGAAGTAGAAAGTTGTCAGCACCTTGCCAACCCTGTGTGTTCCTTCATGACTAAGCTTTCCCCGTTACACACACACACACACACGCACACACGCACAGGCACACACGTGCGCACATTTCCACAATCCTGGTTTTAAGGTAGCAATTTTCATAAACTTTCTTTATAGTCTTAATCCCTAAGTGTGAATTCCTAGTATACTCTATTGGTTTTTAATCTTTATAATATATAATCTGAGCTATTGAGGGGCTTTAAATAAATAACCCTATCATGAATAGAAACAACTTACTTCAGTGTGGCACACAATCACCGTATTACCTTAGAAGCTCAGCTGCTAACTGTTAGCATTTCCTGTATGAAGACCCTGATCTCAGATCCCAGTAAACCCCCCACCCCAGAAGCTCAGCCTTCAATCCCAACAGCTGCAGGCAGATCTCTCTGAGTTCGAGGCCAGCCTGGTCTACAGAGCGAATTCTGGGACAGTCAGGGCTACACTGAAAAACCCTGTCTCAGAGACAAAAAACAACAAAGCAAAACAAAGCCTTTCAGAACAAAGTGGGAAGGGATTCTGGGGTGTCTTGTACAGTGAGCTCTCCTCTCCTCTCCAGTCCGCTCCATCGGCTCCATCGCACTGAGAAAAGCGGAGGACATTGACTTCAAGTACCACTTTGACTTCTTCAGTGTGAACTTCAACGAGGAGCTGGTGGCCCTGTACGGCGGGAGTCTTAAGAAGCAGACCAAGTTCGTGCACCAATGCATCAAAACAATTCTCAAACTGTACAAGGTAGGCAATAAAGATGCAGATCATCAGTGTAACCTATCAGCAGTGTCTTCTTCTTCTTTTAGGGATTGATTTTAAATAGTATATTTATTTATATTGTGGAAGTTGAAGCAATACAAACACGGCAGTACTTTTTTTTTTTTTTAAAGTGGTATCTTCAATCCAGTGCAACTTTAAAGATCTAAGTTGAATTTACAGTTTCCTGGTTCATCGAGAGATAAGGTGGAGGGCCAGTGAGGTGACTTAGGGGGTAAAGGCACCGGTGCTCAGCATGATGGCCTCTCTTCAGTCCCTGGAGCCCACATGTTTGAAGAAGAGAAACTGCCCCCTCCCCACATTGTCCCCTGAGTCACATGTGTGCTCATACCACACAATCAAAAACTAGAATGACTAAATTACTATCTGTTCAATAAATTTTAGGGAAAGGCATTTCATCGGGGATCAGTGTAGACGCTTTAGAGACTTTGAGTTTCATCCTCAGGTCCTGGCACCACAAGAAAGACATTTCATAATTGTAAAAGGGTCGATGTATCCAGGAAACAAAGCAATCATTTGTGTGCCTCTAATCCTTCCAGATTCACAAAGCCAAATCCAGTAGGACCAAGGAAAGATATTATTATTGTTAGCACAATTAGTACGAATGATTTCACTACGAATCCTCCCAATTTCTGATAGAAGAGTTCCGTAAAACTCTGGATTTGAACACCCTTCACCACCTCTGCTGTATGTTTATTAGTAATAGTAGAATGCTGTGCTCAACAACTATAGAAACATTCTCTTTCAGTGCACAGTGACCATGTACTAAGGTGTCCTCTGTGCCAGGCCATATATGGGTCACGGGTATTAATAATCCTCAAAGCGTTAAAACTATGCAATGCCGTATATTTTCTGAAAATAGCAAAGTTAAAAGTTTAAAAAAATGCCTAAAAAAAATTCTTCTAGCCAGGTGATGGCACACACCTTTAATCCTAGTACCCAGAAGGCAAAGGCAGGGGGTTCTCTGTGAGTTTGAGGTTGGCCTGGTCTACAAAGCAAGTTCCAGGATAGCCAGGGCTGTTACACAGAGAAACCCTGTCTCGAAAAACCAAATTAAAAAAACAAACAAACAAAAAAAAAACTTCTATTACTGCTAGATTACCCAACGTTTCAAAAAAAGTAAAATTTGAGGATACTATGAGATAAATTAAAATGAAAATGCATATCAGAATTTATAACATTTTATGTGCACAAAATTGTCAAATAATAAAAAAAAGAATTTATGAGATTGGGTCATTGTTAAAAACAAATATTGCTTTTGAATGCTCATAAAGTAAGATTTTAAGTCTGTGACTGAAGGCTGCAGGCTTTGTAAGCCAGAGGGAAAAGAAAGTTACCAAAGCAGGTAGAGTAAGGAGTCATGATGAAAGTGAAAATTAAAGAAATATAAAACAGGGCTGGAGAGATGGCTTAGTGGTTAAAGAGCACTGCCTGTTCTTCCAGAGGTCCTAAATTGAATTCCCAGCAACCACATGGGATTACATACAACCGTCTGTAATGAGGTCTGGTGCCCTCTTCTGGCGTGCAGGCATACATGCAGACAAAATAAACAAATAAAGGTAACCATCTCAAATATATATAAAACAACAGAAAAACTCACTTCTGCCAATGGTTGATTCTTCAGAAAGATCAACAGCTTGGTAAATTTTGGCTAGACTGACTTGAAAAATGAGAAAACAAAGTAATGCTATCAGGAACTAGTGATGGCGTGTTTCTACACAGTCTACCCCTGCAAAGAGGACAGTGAAGGAACAGGCACACTTTGATGCCTATACATAACATAAATTAAAAAGCTGACATAAGAAGAAACAGAAAATCTGGTTAGCCCTGTATCTGTCAGGGGTGTGTGTGTTGTGTAATGGAAAATCTTGCCACTAAGAAAAACCTCGGGCAAAATGACTTTCAGTGAAATTCTAGTCCTTATTTAAGATACAACAGTTATTGATCTCAAAACAACAGCAAAATCAGCTTTCAGAAGAATAGAGGAAGAAGCAGACTCATTGGACGGATAAAGTACAGGTATGGAAAGACTATTCTGGGCAGGGAAAACCTCATTAATCACAAGAGTCTAAGGAAATACAGCCATGTAGAAAACAGAAATGTGGCTGGGGTGGCCGGGGAGATTGTAACGACACAGAGACAATTTTAATGTTTTTCCCCCTTTTATCTAGGGTGGTAAGGAAAACCGCTGGGCAGTGACACGTTCTTATTTCAGTAGGATGATTTCATTCTGGTTATTTTCGAGGATAAACGGGAGGGGCGTAAGGATGGAGACAGGGAGACCAGAGAGAAGCCTGTTGCAGTCTCTCAGACAAGAGCTAATAGTGCTTTAGGTTAGGTTGGTAGCAACTGAAGTACTGGGGTACTAGTATCGGGGCAGAGGCAGCAAACTTAGCTTGGCAGATTGCAGGTTAAAGTTCCGGAGGAAGGAGAAAGAAGAGTTAATGATTCCAAGTTTTTTCTTTGGCTAACTGGAAGGATTGAATTGCCTTGGACAGGAAGGAGGAAAAGGCTTGGGGGTGATAAAAGTCTAATTTAAGACAGACTGAGTGTGAGATCCATGAGATATTCCCAGTATAGCAATTATACAAGAGGAGTTCAAGGCGAGGACTCCAGCAGAGAGATCCAGTGGAGATTAGTTGGTGGGTGGTTGACTGTAGGTAGATGTATTTACAGCCAGGGGAGTAGATGAGATTAGTATGGCCAATATTAGTGTGTGTGTGTGTGTGTGTGTGTGTGCGCGCGCGCGCGCGCATGCCAGAGAGATCAAAGAACCAATCACAGGCCATTAAGGGGTCAGGAAAGTGAAGGAGCGCAGCACTAAAGACTAAAAGTGATCACTGGTGGATAAGAGAACAGGAAGCTGGGGGTGCAGAGGCAGGTCGGCCCTCACTGTGATGAACGCTGGATCCCCAAGGCCATCCCCAGGCAGGCTGGTTTGCTAGTAGCGTTCACAGGACTCAGCTTGGATCAGACTTAGGGCTCTCACACAGGGAAAGGACACAAATCCCGTGAGGAGAAGCGCAGGGAAGAAATCGGAAGAAAGCAGGTGTGAACTTCCAGAGGCTCTCCCAGGGATGGAGGGGGTGGGACGGGCACAGACACATTTGTACTTCGTTCCTCCATCTACAAATTGAGTGAGAAAGGTTACCTCGGAGGGGTAAGGGGCGCAGTTAGAGACGCAGTGCTCCAAAGTATTATCGGAAGCTAATTCCAAATCTGTCTGCTTAACACAGACCAGAATTCTAGCCTGGAGGACAACAGATGTTCAGCATAGGCCATATTGCTTGCATCGCGGACACTGTGAACTGTCTAAAGAGTGGCAAGCCCTCCCGAAATATAAGGTCCCAGGCTGCACTCTGTAGCAGCCTTTCGTTTAGATCATCCTAAGGATAGCAACCCCAGGCCTTCCGGGTCAGCTCTGTTTTGCGCAGCGACTGAAGGAAAGGCACGTGTGGAGGACCAGTGTTGTGGGAGACATTTCTACAGTCTAGTAGGAAGATTAAGGAGCGCGGCTGACCCAAGCTTGTTTTTGAGATGGTCCTCGCTATGTAGTTCTGGCTGGCCTCGAACTCACTAAGTAGACCAAGCTGGTCTTGAACTCACAGAGATCCGCTTGCCTCTGCCTCCTGAGTGCTTGAATTAAAGGTGTATACCACTATACCTGATAAATGAAGATTATTATTGCTTTTTAAAAGTAATTAACTTTCGGTGTGTGGGTATTTTATCTGCTTGTATGTCTGTGTACCGTGTGTGTGCCTGGTGCCTCTGCAGGCCAGAAGAGGACACTGGATCCCCTGGGACTAGAGTTACAGACTGTTGTCCTCATCCACCGTGTGGGTGATGGCAACTGAACCTCAATCCTCTGAAGAATCAGTGAGAGTAACCTCTGAGACATCTCTCCAGCCCCAACAAAGATTATTTTTAAGGCGATACTTTTTTAAAGAATTGCATAACCTGTGGAATAAATGTTTAAGAAGCTATTTTATTTTTTAAATTCAAATGCACTGTAGAGAAATAATTTAAAGAGACACCATATGATGTTGTATTGCTTCAACAGCTATAATTGTCTTTTAAAACTATTTTCAGTTTCATTTATTTCTTATACATTATATATTCCTTATATATCCTTATATATATAATATATTCCTTATATATTATAAAATAAATATTCTCTTCTATACTAAATATACTTCAGATTGTATGCAGCCTAGCAAATGAATACAAATGTGATTCACTAAATCAATGATTCCAGTTTCAGTTTAGAAAATCATAACCAAAAGTATAACTGTTAAAATTAACACAAGCCAAAAGAGGATTTGTTTATTGTTTAGAACTGTGTGAAGACGGATTTTTCTGTCTTTTGAGTTTATCTCTGCTATTATACTGGTCATATGCAAGCAGAAGTACCAAATAGTTTTCCTATGATGCTAAGAATCCTATCATGGTGATTTTTTTCCTTTCTTCCTTCCTTTCCTTTCTTTTCAAATAGGGTCAAGAATTCGCTCCCACAAGTGTGACAATAGTTGGTCATTCTATGGGTGGCCTTGTGGCCAGAGCATTGCTTACGCTGAAAAACTTTAAGCAAGATCTGATCAACCTTCTGGTCACCCAGGCCACTCCTCACGTGGCCCCCGTGATGCCCTTAGACCGTTTTATCACCGGTGAGTACGAGGCACTTCAAACTTCCCTCCTCCGTCTGGGTGAAGCTGGTTCCTGAGAGTTTACTCCATGTGTGAGGCTGTCCAGTTACACATCAGCACTCCCGTTCCCAATGTCGCTCATCTCTTTCAATCTAGGCTTATTGGGGATAACATTGACTTCTCTTTCCAGCCGGTTAAAGCGTGTTTGCTAAGCCCAAGGTTCCAGGACTCCAACTTCGTTCTTCTTGGGAACAATTCTGTCTTTTTAAGAGTTATTTGTTTGAAACTTGTCGTATCAGATTCTCACAGTAATGAAATTAAGAGATTTGTGATTAAAATTGTTTAAATCTTTTGTGCTGCTTCTACTAATGTTGGCTGAGTATCCATTTAGGGAAAGGATCAAAAACTACAAGTCAGGTTTGTTACCACCCTTTCGATTGCATTTTGCACAGTTCATAGAGATGAGTCGTGTAGTTAAGTTAAAATGATTCCAGATACACTTAAAATAATAAGTCAGCAGTAGTCAGTTTGATATTATATCATTTAGCAGCAGAATAGTAGGCAGTCCCTTAGGGACTGTGACCTATCTATCTATCTATCTATCTATCTATCTATCTATCTATCTATCTATCTATCTAGCCGTAGGTTCCTAGCCCAATAATGGTTATAAAGTATGACTTTCATCTTGTGGAACAGGATTTAAATTTGAGCAAAAAGTTATTGGTTACTCCCATGGTGTCCCTGCCACTATTGCACCGGTGGGCCTGTCTTTCCGGACCCATCATCTCTATAGCTTTCAGGGGTCATAGCTGGGTGCAGTTGATAATGACTTTCTCCTCTGAGAGTTTGTAGAGCATCTTGCAGCGTTATTAGAGACAGCCAGCAGGGACGAAGCTTCCAGGTATGTGTCAGCTTGATCTCACCACGTTCTGTGACTCAATAGCGTGGCCTCTTCAACAGTAGGACATTTTTAAAAATTTCTTTTAAGTTCTTCTGTCATGTTTTACATCCCCTCTCCCCAGTTTCTCCGTCTCGCCTCCCCTCTCCCACGGATCCACACCTGCTCTGCCTCCCCTCAGGAAAGAGGAGACCCCCAGGGACATCAACCAGACGCCACATAAGATGCTACAATAAGACCAGATACACACGATCCCATCAAGGCTGGGCGAGGCAGCCTAGGAGGAGGAAAAGGGTCCCATAAGTAGACAGAGGAGTCAGAGACAACCATGCTTCTACTGTTAGGAATCCCACAAGAACACCAAGCTACTCAACTATAACATATATGCAGAAGGACCTAGGTTAGATCCTACAGGCTCCCCAATCTCTGCAGTGAGTCCCTGTCAGTTGATTCTGTGGGCCATGGTCTTGTGATGTCCCTGACCCCCTAGCTCCTCCTGTCCTTCCTCCCCCTCCTCCACAGGATTCCCCACCCTTTGCCTAATGTTTGGCTGTGGGACTCTACATCTGCTCCCATGAGTTGATGCTGAAGTCGCTCTGATCTCTTTGATGAGGGTTCTGCTAGGCTCTGGTCCCAGAACACTCCGCAGGCGGTACAAATTGTAGGTCAAAGGTTTTGTCACTGGGGTTATATTCCAAATCCTACACTTGAGGTCTTGCCTGTTACAGAAGATGGCCAGTTCAGACTCTGTGTCTCCCATTGCCAGGAGGCTTTGATAGGGTTACTCTCGTAGATTCCATGGAGTTTTTCATTGCGCTAACTTTCCACGTTGCTCCCCAGATGTCGCCCAATTCCAGTCGTTTCTCCCAGTATTTTCTGCCTCTCAGCAGTAGGATCTTCTTGTCAAATGGAGCCTTGTATTTGCTTAATAAATCACACCAGCACTTGGGAAGCAGAGGCAGGTGAATCTGTGAGCTGAAGGCTATCCTGGTCTACAGAGTGAGTTCCAGGACAGCCAGGGCTGTTAGAGAACCCTGTCTCAAAAAAACACCAAAACCAAAAATCCCCAAAAACCTAAACAAAAGCAAAAACAAGCAAGAAAACAAACAAAGTCACACCCTTGAACTAGATCTGCATCCTCCAAAGAAGAAATGTATTTTCAATACTGTCAGGCTTGAATCATCGATAGCAATGATCACCTTTGAAAGGTATTCCTAAGCTTAGAGAAAGTCCGGTCTCTTTCAACGTTCTGGTTTCTTATTTCTTTACATTAGAATGGGAAAAAAAATATTTAAGTAGTGAAGGGTTTCGTGTTCTTGAGAGGTACATATGACTTCCAGAAATAGAAGCCCTGTTTATACTTAGTAGAAATGCTACCTTTAAACGCAGAAAGTGGTCCTGCCCTGGGCCTGCTCTTCCAGGGTCATTTCTGACCTGGAACCCCTCCACACAGGGACGAGATATGTACACCAAACAGCCTTTCTCCTTGTGGCTCATGCTCTTACGCTCAGATCATGATTCCGGAAACCAAATCTCCAGATTGCCCATTAATTTTCTTTTGGAGAGTGTTCATGTAGCCCCCTTACGATCCTCATCTTCCTGCCTCCTCATGGCTGGGTTTACAAGTTTGCAGCACCATGCCCAGCTCCTGTGCCCCAAGCTCTTTCCAGGGCCGGCGTGGGCCTCTTACATGTCTTTATTGTAAGAGCAGTGCACACGAACCTACAGTGAACTATGGCAAAGTGTGGCTCTGTGGTGGAGCTCGGACATTTCGCACAAGGTCCTTGGGATGTTAGATAGAATTAGGTTGGTAAGGGAGAGAAGGTACCACGGCAGTGGACCCATGGCGTGCTTTTGTGTGTTCTCACAATCTCGGGCTAACTTTGAAGACTCTGAGAATCTTAACTCCATAGGACGTCATCTCAATGGTCCGTCAAGGAAAGCATAAAAAATACTTCATTTCGTGGTCTCATAACTGTTTTTGGTTTTAATATTTAGACTTTAGTACTTAGTTTCATTGGTATTTTTCTTGGGTCCTCTAGATGTCAGAGTTCAGTAGACTTGGTGATGTCTCAGATACATACTGTTGAGACCTTTAATGAGGAGGGCTTTACATACCAAATGTATGAAGGCACAAATGGGATCTGATGGAGTTTGAAGCGGAGAAAAAGAAATTAGGGCTCTGTTTCCTGATCTCAGTGTAGTGATCAACAGACTTCCTAGTTTTAGTAGATAAAGTGAAAGTCTGCTTGGAAACCTCTCACTTTAAATTTGCTGCTAACTTCAATGGGTGGAACCCTAAGCCTGAGATTTTCTTCAGGAGTGTAATCCTAAAATTAATATGTCGCTCTTATGATAGGTTGTTTCGTAGGAGCTTACGCAGTGATGTATGGTGATGGTTATTCAACACAGGGTTGCTAAGCCTTGAAAGACTGGGCACTTCTGTGACCAGGAGAAGTGAATGTCTCTTTTCTTGAAGACTACTTTATTGAGGGTAATTCATAGGCAAAAATGCACGTATTTAATATATACAATATGGTGGGAGTGAACACGGCTTCTATCTTGGCACTAGCGTCATGGATGTCTACAACTCTTCTTTGAAGGAACTCAAGGGTTTCTTTGTGATGGTGTGGGGTGATGCCGGTCTTGTTGGCTGCAGAGATGTGTTTGCATGCGAACTCATTGAAAACTGGTTCCGTGTGGCCTTTCTCTTTAGTGACACCTTTGGTAATTCTCAGTATTTTACTTCAACTCATTGCAAACGTGGATTTTTGTACTCTGACTTGTATGCAAAGCTAATGATTTTTTTCTCCAAATATAGAAATGTGAATGATATTTATAGACCAAATAGCTTAAGCAAAAATTCAGATAAATATTTGTATTATAAGTATGGCTGCATGAAATGGCTTTAATTTTCAGTGTTTCCTTTTCCCTTTCATTTCCTTCCAGAGTTCTATATGAATGTAAACGACTATTGGATTTCAAATGCTCGGAATATAAATCTGACTACGCTCTCCGTAGCTGGAGGATTCCGGGATTACCAAGTTCGTTCAGGACTGACTTTTCTGCCAAAATTAAGCCATCAGACCAGTGCCCTATCTGTCGTGGTAACTATCTTAAAGGTTCTATATAGTACTATAGTAGACACAGAGGAACATCAGAAGGGAAATGGTGTATCCATGCTTGTAAATGGGGGCCAGGTGGGTGGAGCAAGTGTGCACGCAAGCGCACATGAGCGGATGTATGAGGAAATCCGAATGAAGACGGAGGTGCTGAAAAGCAGACGCGTGGATGTTTCTGCCGAAGAAAGAAAAAAGGACGTGAGAAACCTTGAAAATCGATGAAAGTAATAGGCTCCAAAGTCAGACCCTATCCATTAATCAGAGGTGGAACCGTAAGAATGCGTGGACTAAACTCAAGGGGCTCTAGTTACTCTAGCGTGATGTAACTGTATTGCTAGTAGAATGGCCGACATATCCCATTTCCTAATGCTACCTTTGAACAAAGACTTACCAACTGCCAGATAAAATAACGCTCTTTGACAGTTGACGAACAAACAGAACCCCGATTAACTTGCCGATTATTAATTACCCTTCCCTGCCAGGCCATTGAGTGTTTGATCTTTAATTAGGATACTTAGACTTTGGAAAGTGAACTCAAATTTCTCTTAGAATCTCTTATACATTTAACCATGACGTCAGCGGTTAAGATCTCCACTGCAGAGGCACGCACAGCCTCTCTAGAGGGGCCGCCTGTCCCCCGTGCTTCGGGGCGATGGTGGGAGGAAGTCCACGCCTCTGAGTTGTTCTGTGTAACCTCCCTGCTATTGCCTTGCCGTTCGGCCACTAGTGAACTGCTAACTGAATCCTTCGTTGCCTTATCCAGAGGAGGAATTAGGATGCAGGTCTATCCTTACCATTTTCTTCTAACTGGAAGCATTAGGATACAGCCAGGATAGTTGTTGATTGATTGATATGTTAATCAATCGTTCTCTCAGACCTCATCATTAGTGGCGGGAATCTTGGTTTTGGTGTCCGAGTATTTCAGACAGATGTTTGCCGGGACGCCTCAGGATACCCAGTGTCGCTCCTCGGTAAACACACGGGATGAAGTCTTACGAAGTCAGACGTAACTTCCTCGCCATCGTTGGCCCGCAGCGTGGCGTCAACACCCTGCACGCTGATGCTTGTCTGTGGAAGAACATTGCTCATTTGATCCCGCACGCGTCCGCTGACGTATGAGTGTGTGTCCTTGTCTGCTCTAATCCCTTTGACAATGCGTGGCTGTCGCTGTTTCTGTCTCTGATGAAGAGATTTCACTAACAGAATTTCCCCACGGTTGTCTGTTTGTAGAACTTTTATTTTTTTAACTCTCTTTGTAATTTCTCACGTTTATATGTCTGATATTATAGTCAGTTAAGCAGTGACAGTTTCTCAGTGCTTGTCACAGGAGTGATTAAGTTACTTTATAGTCATGGGGACTGGGAAAATGATAAGAAGTTAAGACCGTGATTGTGTTTAATTGCTATAATATATCCCCTTGTAGATAATAGTATCATAAATACAAATGACCTTTTGCTGTGTAGAACAGTGTGTGGTTTCTGATGCAGGGACCTAGGCTGATGCCAGATACCCCATCTGCAATGCTTTACTTCCCAGATCACGTTAATCATCACTGGATCAAACAGAGAGAGGAATCAGCTCAGGGAAGGGCACCGGGCTGAAAAGGGCACCCATTGCTTCCCTTGCCCATGACTCCTCTCACCCGTGGCCTCTCTCACCCGTGGCCTCTCTCATCCGTAGCCTCTCCCACCCGTGGCTCCTCTCGCCCGTGGCTTCTCCAGCCCTTGGCTTCTCCTGCCCATGGCTTCTGCTCACCGTGAGGAAATGCTATTATGTCTTGAAGAGAGGCTGAGGGATTGAGCCATGTTGTTTGCTGTAGAGCAGAATGAATGCCTTTTAGTGCACAATGAGCAACCACCCTTATAAAATGTCTGCATTTTTTATTAACTTCATTCTTTAACCGTTGCAAAAGTGAATATACTGATTCCTCTCACCTCTTGTCGCCCTCCCACTCCTACCGACCTCCTTCTTCCCCACAAATTTCTACGCCATATTCATGCCTTGTGTGTGGCTTGTGCCCCACAAGGGCTGTCTGTGTGACCACAAGTATAAGTCTATCCACTGGAGCCCAGTGGTCCTCCTGTAGGCACACAATGGAATGCCTTGTCCAGAATCTGTCGGTAGTCAGTGACTAAGCAGTAGGGCTGGGGTCCCAGCAGCTTCTCCTCCATCCATAGCTGACTGTCGGCAGGGCTGGCCTTGTTAGAAGCCACAGCTGGTGTGAGTTCACGCTTGCACCGGCTGTGTCCTGCTTAGAAGGTGGCTTTTCACAGGTGTTCCCCCTGAGTGGGGCTTCTATGTTCTTTCTGCCCTTCTTTTGCAGTGTTCTCTGGGCCTGAGAGGGAGGAGCGGGTAGTATTTGTGGTGCCTTTACCAAGCCAAACAAAATTGTAGGAGGAGGCCGCTTAGCCCCAAAATAATCACATAGAAACTGTATTAATTAAATCACTGCTTGGCTCATTAGCTCTACTTATTGGCTAACTCTTACACCTTAATTTAACCCATCTCCATTAATCTGTGTATCACCATGTTGCAGTGGCTTATCGGGTAAAATTCTGTCCAGCTCTGGCAGTGCTACATGGCTTCTCTCTGAATCGCCTTCTTTCTCCCAGCATTTAGTTTAGTTTTCCCCACCTACCTCAATTCTACCCTATCAGGCCAAGCCAGTTTTCTTTATTCGTTAATGGTAATCACAGCATACAGAGGGGAATTCCACATCAGAAGATAAAGCACATTTATTTACTTGATAATGGTAAATGCTACCTATCAGTGGTTGAGCTATTCTTCTGCTCAGTGGCTAGTAAAATCTTAGAACCATAGAGGACTCTGGTGTCAGATTTTTTTTTTAGTGATTTATCAGCAGTAGTTCCTAAATATATAAAGTGCCTATAAACTCATCAATAAGAGGGGTGCAGATGAACAGGAGTTATAGAGTGTGGAAATGATCAATCTCTATTATGCAAATGTGGAAATGTCCTAATCGAACTCCTTACTTTGTGTAGTTAATACATATAATAAATTATACATATAGTTAATACATATGATAACTACATGCTAATACATATTTCTCAGCACACCCCTGTTGATCAAGCCACATCTCAGAGCCCCCCAAGTAGCAGTTCAGTCAAAACTAAAATCCTGAACTATCTATTGGAACATCTACATTCATATAAAAGTAAAAATTTTACTTAATAACTTTCTTTAATAAGATTCTTTATTAAAGGAATATTAAGCTCAACTTTTTAATTGTGCGTTGAAAATGTTAGATATTAAAACCTCAGCATAGGCTCTTCGGATATATTAATTTTTAAAGGGTAATATAAGTCTGAGAACCAGAAATAACATATATGGGGTTATGTTATGCATGGAATAATATATTAGGATCACCTTTTATAAAAATGGATCATTTTAATTAAAGACATATACAGCATAGTGAAATTTTTAACACGTGTTTCTAAATATCAGCGTATGAGAGATCCAGCAAATCGTCATGTACTTGACTTTTTTTCTTTTCCTTTCAGAGCTCAGCAGTGCCTAAGACCTGGGTCTCAACAGACCATCTCTCCATCGTGTGGTACGTTATAACTTACGCTGCTGATTTGTCTTATCACCATAATTAAGTCTGAGTGAAAGATTAATAGAGGTTCGAGCTCAACGCTCAGCTCTTGCTTGTTGGACCTTACAATCCGTAACATCGTCTTCTGAAGCACAAGTAACGTCACTCCGAATGATGCCAACATCAAATACTAAACTTTAGGGCTTGTCTTAGGTAGGCAGAGTCAGATGTGCCCCCAGAGGACGTTCAGAGCTCCCAGCCAATTAATGCTCTCCGATAGAGTTAGATTTGTGATGGCTGCTGTGGGGAGCGATGGAAACCAACCAGAAATCAGATCTCTACCTAATAACAGTAGAAACGTAAGAGTCAAGGAAAGCAAAGACTCCAGTCTCTAGCTCCTTGTGCTCTGGCTGTCAGATTCTCTTTTGTCCTTCCTCTGTCTGGACAAGCCACAGTCTTCAAGGTCCACGCAGGGCAGGCGCGTAGGGTGGCACAGGCTTCACATGTGCCTGGAGCTGGAAGTCACGTGGGCAGCAGAAGGCCATTTGGCTGCCAGACATCTAGAAAGATTTTGTTTGCTTTGCTTCTATAGGTTAGCCTTGATATATACACTTAGTAGGAATGACTTGTGTGCCTTCTTAGTGCACATTATTATTATTAAAGCAATAGAACGTGCTCCATTAGCTGATAGAATTGTGTGTATTTTCATCAAAACTGGCGGTTGGTGGCTTCTGGGGGAGGGAGAGTCGCTTGTCTTTGGTGGTATGGTGACCAGTAGAATCCCCCGTTCCCTTAGGGTTCACCCGTCCTAATGCATAAGTGGGTGGGACTGATTATTGGGTTTAGGGAGTTAAAAAAATGAATGAAATTTAAGAAGAGGACATGAAGTTGAGACGGAGAGATGATGTGGGGGTTGTGGGGAGAGCTGGGGAGGAAACAAGGTTTAGATGTGGCCAAGGTATAAAATTCTCACAAAAGAGAGTACGATAATTTCTTTTTTTTTTTTTAAGATTTATTTATTTATTATTTATTTATACAGTATCCTGCCTGTAGGCCAGAAGAAGGCACCAGACCTCATTACAGGTGGTTGTGAGCCACCGTGTGGTTGCTGGGAATTGAACTCAAGACCTTTGGAAGAGCAGGCAATGCTCTTAACCACTGAGCCATCTCTCCAGCCCCGAGTACGATAATTTCTAACATAGATTTTTGTCTTCTGTCGTGTTGCCGCCTAGATAACAGTTTCACACTGAGAAAGGCCAGCGTTTTACGAACATTGTATCCGTAACACTTCCTTTCCGCTCTAGGTGTAAGCAGTTACAGTTGACCACAATCCGAGCCTTCTTGGATCTCATCGACGCCGATACCAAGCAAGTAGGTGTTTTTAAATTGAAAGCTTGTTTTAGTGAAGCGAACGCTTTGGTTAGCGCTCACAGATTCCATACTAACAGAATCCTTGTATCAGGCGAATTAGTTCTGAAATGGAAATGTCTTTATTTCTTCTGATGTAATGCATAGACCATTCATTCAGGAAGCGGTGAAAATAAAGGCCAGAACGGCTGACTCTTCTCTCAGCACCTTCTCTGCACAGGTCTGAAGTTGGATGCCTCTCTCTCTCCAGCTCTCATTTTTAATTTAAGAGAAATATTTATGACAGACTAATGGGTTTTCTTCGTAACATATGAGAGCATCATAATCTATCCTATTAGGTACTCTTGAATGCCTTTTAAAAGTTATCTTCGGCGTATTGGTAAGACCAGAATGCATGCCGTCCTCAGTAACTCACTCACCAGAGTCAGTTGTATACTGGCCCGGGTCGAGCCATTTCTGTCCTGAGATCTCCGTTCCACTGTGGTTTCAGAGATCAGCTGTGTACTGACCCGGGTCAAGCCATTTCTGTCCTGAGATCTCTGTTCCACCGAGGTTTCCAACTTACCAGTTAGCAGAGCCTGGGAATCACTTGCCGTATCCTGTACAGGACATCATGGGTTTTTTTTTGTTTGTTTGTTTGGTTTTTTTTTTTTTTTTTTTTTTTTTTTTTTTTGGTTTTTCGAGACAAGGTTTCTCTATGGTTTTGGAGCCTGTCCTGGAACTAGCTCTGTAGACCAGGCTGGTCTCGAACTCACAGAGATTCGCCTGCCTCCGCCTCCCGAGTGAGTGCTGGGATTAAAGGCGTGCGCCACCACTGCCCGGCCATCATGCTGTTTTTTTCTTCGCTTTCTTGACTGCTAGATGACCTGTCCTGGGGCGGCTTCAGCGTGATTAAGGGCCTTGTGTTCAGCAGCTTCAATTTCTGCTGTGAGCTGGGAAGAAGCTGGGGTTTCTCATCTTCAACTGCCTTCCCCTGGGTCATTTTACAGTAAATATCTGTTCTGTGGGAATGGTTTTGAGAGCCATGGCTCTGGCTTCATCCCCCTTCTGGAGAAAACATGAGCTTTTGAGGTCGGTTTGATTGTGACAGAGCATTATAGCCCCAACTCTTAATAACTGTGTGACTTTAGAGAAATGTCTATTTTTCTGTGGCTTAGTTTCTTACGAAAAGGCAGATACATACTATCGGAGTTTTTGTGAGGATGAGCGTTGATACCATGTTGTTTTAGGACAGTGCCTGGTCCAGAGAGAGTAAAATGCTGACTCTTTTATTACTTGAAGTAATGCTTCATCAAATCATCATACCATAGACGATGCAGACTATGCTTATGTTCTTTCTAGATAACTCAGAAACCTAAGAAGAAGTTGTTGGTGTTGAATCACCACTTCATAAGACACCCAGCGAAGCAGTTTGAGGAAAACCCATCCATAATTTCTGACTTCCCAGGTTTGTGGTGGTGACCTTTAACGTGGATCTTTTCGCTGGTGTTTCTGATCAGTGTGCTATTGTGAACAGCTGTTAGTATTTGAGAAACCGGGATGCTTCAAGTATTCTGGTCCTATTTACCGATTTTTCTCTATCGTGGTCCTAGCAAGTTCTTGGTTTGAAAGGGAAACATAGAAAAGCAAATTGTTAAGACACTGATCAAAGTTTGCACTGGAAATAAGTTGATAAATAAAGGTTTTAGAGTTGTGTGCCCTTGTTTTCCGGATAGTCACCGAAAGCAAGAGATGTGTTATTTATAACGTCTTTGTTTCTCGGTATCGTTTACTCCCCAGCCTCCTGAGTTACCAGCACTTCGTTTGCTTGGCAATTGTGCTCATGTTCTGCTCATTCCGGCGGTTTCCTTGGGGAAAGCGATCCTCATTTCCTTCTGTTGAGAGGTCAAAGTCAAAGACTCTGATAGGAATTGCTTGTTCGTGTTCAGCACAAAGAACATGTTTCTGGATCTCATCTTTTAAAGTAGCCGATATTCAGGGAACCACGTGTTTGTTATTGCTAATGAGTATTTATCAGAATTCAAAATAGGACAACAATTTTAATATGGAAGTAATTGCATATGCAATAACTGCCTTTCCTCTCCATTTAGGGTCATCCAAGTGGATTTCAGTGAAAATGGCCAAATGGTCCCACGTGGCTCAGAATGTAGGTATTCTGTCGTTGTTTCTGTCCAGACTGATTCTTAGATCTACCTTTAAAAGTTAAGATTTTTTTAAATTAGTTTCCCACGATTTACTAAGAATACCTTAATAATACCAAATCTGTTCAAGTTCCCTATTTTATCATAAATTTGGACCCCTTTTTCTTTGTTTTTCAATTTATTTGCTAAGCACCCAATGAGGCGATAGATCACTGTTTGAGATGTTTGATATTCCTCTTCAATATAAATTTCCCACTCCTTTATTTTCTTTGGAATTTATTAATAAAGTTTCTGTCACTTTTTATGATGGGATTTCATACTGGTTTGGTTTTGCTGACTGCATTTCCGTTGTCATTCAGTATGTTCCTCCCAGCCCTTCATAAGATTTAGTAATTGGATCTATATGCTTGATATAGTCCTTTTTTTTTTATTATTAGAACTGTTTTGCTATTCCTGGGCTCGCTTCTGGAGATCTGAGCAGTTGGTAGGGGATGTCTGAATTAATTACCGTAGGAGGATACAAAGACGACGATACCCTGTTTCTCTTCAGTTTATTGATCAGGATACTGATCAGAGAAGTTTCCCTTTACTAAAGTTGTCGAAAGACAAACCCCACAGGAAAGAGCGATCGGTGCCTGACTTCTGGCTTCTACCTCGTGTGCGCTGGCTGTTAGACTAGCGGTCTCCCTGGTAGCATTCCTCGTGGGTGACGGTCGCTAGCACACGTATGTAAATAGACTTGCACTCGTTGTTTATTGATTCTAAGGTTGTTCTTTGCCTGACCAGCTGAAGCCATTTCAGGTGTGGCTCTTTATCTTTCAGTACAGCCACTTAGAGGTGCTTTCTGTTAGTGCCCTCGTTCCCCGGTGTGGCAGAATGTTTCAGCTCAGTTTTTGCCTCTCCCTTTCTGGGGCTTGAATTTGGTGTTTATTTAAGGAATTGTTTTATGTAGGAAACGATACCTGCAGACCCTGGCCTGGCTCCTGGTGACTAGGTTGTTACTTATGGACCTTTTCAGTAACCAGAATGATTGAGAATTCAAATATCGCAGCCATGCATGGGGGTGAACACAATACCCTTAATCCCAGGGAGGCAGAGGCAGGAGAATTACTGAAAGTCTGAGGCCAGCATGATCCATATGGCAAATCCTGGACCAGCCATTGGTATAAATATGAAACCCTGTCTCAAAAACAAGACAACAGAAACATTAAAGAAAAGATAAATTATCATCATCAACACACACACAGACACACAGACACACACAGACACACACACACAGACACACACACAGACACACACAGATACACACACAGACACACAGACACACACACAGACACACACACACAGACACACACACACACACACGAATGCATTAACCCTGGTGCTTGCCTGACAGTTCTGGACTACTGAGTTTTTACTTAACCTTTTCCCTCCTTATTCTTTACCTTCCATTCCCAACCAACTGGTTCTTAGTAATAGCAATAATATATAATTTATTCCCATTGCCATAAGTTCTTGAATGATGAAATTATTTGCTCACTATAGTTACTGTTTTCTCTCTTTTTTTTAGAACTCTGAAAAGGCTTATTTTGCATTTCCTCTTGCGAATCACAGGAAGAGCTACAGTCATGCCTACTGCCAGAGTACCATGTTGGTAAGATGCTTGGCCCCGTCTCCTTTCATTTTCCAGCTAGGAGGTGTGTTAGTTATCTTTGTGGTCACCGTGATAAAGTACCTGAGAGAGGCATCTTAATAAGGAAGAGTTTGCGTTTGCTTATGGTTTAAGTGGGTACCACCCGTCATATCAGGGAACATGGTGAGGCAGCCCATGGCAGTAGAAGGTAATGAGATCCCCCTTCCCATCTCAGCAAATTAGGAAGCAGAACTGGGAGCAGAAAGGAGGCTGGCCTGAAGCTCTCAATGCCTGCCCCACACCATCCTACCTCTTTCAGCCAGGCCTCACCTCCTAAGATTCCACAAAGTATCCAAAGACAAGCCTCTAGGGAACGGCTCATACTCCAGCCATAGCCGGAGGTCAGCATTGTATTGAGGAAAATGCTTGTCGGATTGCAGCTCACACATCTGAGTGGTTAGGGGGTTGTTTTCTGTATTCAGTGTCTGTGGGTGTGTTGGCTTAAATGAGAATAGATTCATATATTTGAATACTCAGTCCCCGGTTGGTAGAACTGTTTGGGAAGGATGAGGGGGCGTGGCCCTGTCAGAGGAGGTCTGTCATGGGGTGGACTTTGAGTTTTTAAAAACCCAAGCCATTGCCAGTCGGTGCTTTCTACCTGGGCTTGTAGATGGAGCTGCGAGCTCTTGGCTACAGCTCCAGCCTATTGTCTGCTGCCATCTTCCCCTCCGCGGCGGTCACGGGCGCTAGCTCTTGGGAACCGTGACCCCCAAATGAAATGCTGTCTTCCGTAAGTTGCTTTGGTCATGGTATTGCCACATCAGTAGCAAAGTGTAACTAAGTCAGTTGAGTATTAATTACCATAAGATAACGTGCAATTTAAATCTTTATTTCAATTTTTTTTTGTGGAACTTGTAAGCCTATATAAAAGTAGGGAGAACATATGATGATGAATTATTTTGTAAGCAGAACACAATTTTGAATAATTACCAGTTCTGCCATTCTGACTTTATTTATTCCTGGGATTATGAACTAACTTGCAGCTCTGGCCTGACCTCCTGCTTCAGAATCTCTCATTATTGTTCCAAGGAGCCAGAATCGCACAAGCATTTTGCCTGCAGGGAGGGGAGAGAAAATACTTAATTGTTATTTTCTCTTATTCTTAAAAAAAAAATCATTTTTTATTTAAACCTCATGAAATCAGAGACTGACTGCCTGACTCACTGCTTTCTCTGAGACCTTAACTTTTTGGTCCTTAGAATGAAATTTATAGACGTTGTGAAAGGATTGATTTCACCGTTGCTTTGTCTGAGATTCCGAGGCAGCTTAAATAGTTGTCTTGACTGTGTTCCCCATCATCCTGCACTCTGGTGGGATTTCAGTAGCGCCAGATTTTGGATATCATGTTTTCGTCCATAAAAGCTGGAGTAAAAATGTCAGGTGGTAGTGCTTTTTAAATAACCAAAGCTAACTGTGGCATGCTTTAAGAAAGGAAGGAAGGAAAGCAAGCAAGCAAGGCAGTACATTTTGCAGCTTCTGATTCACTGCTGACGACGATGGCTACCTTCAGTGTCCACCCAGTGCAGTTGGGTTTCCGCCTAGCCACATTCCTGGTGGTATAGGAGTTATGTCCTGGTAGTCCAATGAGAATGGGGATAATAAAGTAAAAAGCCAGCTTTTCAAATTAAAGGTGTTTGTTTTTCAACATCCTGGCTGTGGGTGTGTGTTTCTAGAAATGTCTATCTCTGGTTCATGCTTGCTTTTGTTAGGATGTAGATTACCGCGTGTAACTACGGCATGGATACTACGAGGCCAGACATTGGGGGCAGCGGTTAGGAACACTTAGATCATGGGCGGCACAGATGCTCGAGGCCGGTCTCGTGCTGTGTGGGCCAGCTGCTCTCATCCGCTCGACCCAAGTTAGTCGCCAACTCTTGGCCTACCCTCGACCTGCATGTCTTTTAAAAGCACGTCGGATGCTCCTTAGTCATAAATCACTACTTTGTTTACTGTGATCCTAACCATTGATGTTCCTTTATGTTATATATATACATATATATATATATAGGTGTGTATTTGAGATGCTTGTTTTATATCACTGTTTTCTATTATTAACCAACAGGATACAAATAGTTGGATTTTTGGCTGTATAAACAGTACATCATCTATGTGGTAAGTTTTTGGATCACTTGTTCATTTTTTCTTAACACAAACAGTGCTCAGAAATTACAGTTTCAGAAAAGGTATATGTGTGTATGTATACATGCGTGCATATATGTGCGCCCATGTACACACACACACAATATTTTTTCTCTTTGATTTTTGAGATAAGGTCCCATTCTGTAGCCTGGGATGTCCTGGAACATGCTGTGTACTCTGGCTGGCCTGGAACTGAGCGTTATTCCCCTGCATCAGCTTCCCCAGTGCTGAGATTATAGACATGAATCACGACAAAAGGCACTTTATATGCTCGTTATACGATCATTTTTGCTGCTGTATCAAATTGTAATTTTTATATTTTAAATTTTGATTATTGTGTGTATGTGTGCATGTGTTATACAGTGCATGTGTGTGCATCTATGTGCCTGTGTTTGTGCTCTGGGCGTGTGTGAATGCAGTGTGTGCTCATGCATGTGTATGCTGCGTGTATGTGTATATATGTGTGTTCATGTGCTCTGTGTGCTTGCACGTGTGTGTGTGCATGCATACATCTCTGTGTGTGTGTGCATGCGTGCATGAGTACACATGCCATGGCATATGTATAAAGTTCAGAGGACAGCTGTTAGGAGCTGGTTCCCTTTCCATCTTGGTTTAGGCTGTCAAGCTCGCCCTGTAGGTGCTTTTTCCCACTGACTCATCTCCCTGGTTTGTTTTGTTTTGATTTTTTGCTAAGGGAGCTTCATGAACTTGTATACAGACTCTACACTCATGGCAGCCATACAGTCTCTCACTTCCAGGCCTACAGATCTTTTCCTCTTGGCTCTGAAGTTTCTTTACAAATTATAATACTTGAACATTTGCCCTCTAATCATACCTTCCTATTTATTTCAAAGCCGGCAAGGGATTGATTTATCATGGAAAGCTGAACTGCTGCCAACCATCAAGGTAAATGTTAGCCTTAGAATTTTATATTTCAGTTAAAAAAGAAAAAACCAGTTGGTAGACCTTTTAGAATTGGCTCTTTAAAAAAGTCATAGGAGTCCTTTCTTTGGAACTGTGTTTGATGAGGCGTGGCAAACAATTAATTAGCTGTGTTTTGTTTATCTTTAGAGATTAAAAACTGTAGGTTGAGAACTTGCTGAACCGGTTGTAATGTTATTTACTGAAGGAGTCAGACACTTTCAAAAATTCCTTTTTTTTTTTTTTTTTGAGCAGAGGCTTAAACAGTTTTTTCTTAAACTATAAACAAGTGAGTGCATTCTATTGAGAATTCATTTGGGTGGAAGGACCTTGCAGTGGGAGGTGAGATTTCAAAGAGACACCGAATAATTTTCTAGATTGCACCACGTTGTGGTCAGGTGGCTGGGTAACTCTTGTATCTAGGTATCCAGGGTGGCAAATCACAGCCTGGATTTACCTCATCGTTGTTAGTGGTTTCCTTAGGTGACTCTAGTAAGTTAGCAAGTCTTTTTATTTTCTTCTTCTTCCTCTTTAACAAATACTAATTTGTATATTCTCAAAATAAATTGCGGGAAACACAAAATAAGCCTGTAATTTGAGGATAATGTCAATTCTAATTTCCAAGCTTGTGTTTATTATAATTTACAGTCTTGTCTGGGTTTGGTGGATTCAGTTTTCACATAAATCCACACCTTAAAATAAATCCTCTCTTCTCATGAGCTCAGACTTGAAACAGACGTCTGTCTGCTCCCAGCCCTCTCCCATTGATTCCAATTGAGTTATTTTTTTTTTTCTCAGATACTCATTTCCCTATTGAGGGAGCAGGACTAGGGACCGTCCTCCAGTCGTGTCCTCTCCATCCCTGAGACACATCCTCAGCCTTTTGCTTTTTATTTTTGAGATGGGGGAGGGGTCTCACTGAGTGTACTTGCTGACTGTCTGTCTGTCTGTCTGTCTGTCTGTCTATCTATCTATCTATCTATCTATCTATCTATATCCCACATAGGCATTGAACACATGGTTCTCCTGTCTCAGTCGCCCGAGTGGCTGGAATATTAATTTGTATAAATAATTTACCCTGTGTTAATTGCATTACTAGAGAGAAACTTTACAAGATGAATAATGTAGGAGGAATAATCTCTTTAAAAAACTTTTGTTTTTTTTTGGGGGGGGGTTGCTTTGTTCACTCTCTGTTTATTTGGAAACAGTTAACAATGGTATTTGTAAAACGAATGTATAAAGAAGCAATTTTACTCAATAGCATCTTTAAAAAAAATTTATCCTTGAGTCTTTCCAAAAGCAATGGATACTTGAAGGCCTTAAGAAACACACTCTGCCCCTGCATTTTAAATGCACCGCTCAGCTGGGTGTGGTGTGCACCTGTAACCCAGTGTCCAGCAGTGGAAAGGAGGACAAGAGCCTAGAGGTAGAGGCAGCAGAGTTGCCGAGTGAGGACTTGTCTCTGTATCATGAGAACTTTTCTCATACAGTTTAGATTTCATAAGGAAATACTGTTCCTATAATTCTACAGAGACTGAAAAGTGTGTTTACCAAAGGGTAGGCCCCTTCAGTTCTTAAGTTAGGGATCACATGTCTGGATAGCCAGAAGACAAGATGTTCCAGCCGCCTGCTTTTAACAGTGATATCTGGAGGAGCAGATTGCCGTATTCTTCAGGCTTAGGTCTTCTAAGTTTACGCTAACACTAAACACAAACCAACTTTCCCATTATGCGAACAAATTTTATATAATGTGTTCGTGACTTTTAAGGAAGCCCAGTTTTCTTTTAAGCTATAAAAATGAGGGAATAAAGCAAAGTGTGGTGGCCCATGGTATGTGTGTTACCCAGCAAGTTCAAGGCCAGCTTAGTACACGGAACCGTGTTTGCAGAAGTGACTGATAAATAAATAGCAAACTAGCGTGGGCCATCCTGAAGGCAAGGATACTTGCTTAAAGGAGAAAGCAGTGTTTGCTGAGACTTAACAAAGACCTTAAACATCCTTCTAGGTTTTTGCCCAAATACAAATGCTCTTAATGGGCTCAGGCTGCCACTGTTTGCTTAGTTTTCCCCACGTGCCCAGCCTTGTAGCCTTTGGGATCACCGTCAAGTGTGACTTTTCTCCTTGATTAGGACAACGTGACGTATTCACACCAAGCAGTAACCTTTCTCTCCACCACGGGTGTACAAATGGAGAAGCGTGCTGAAATGATTAAGTGGGACTATTTCGTAGGTTTTATGCATATTAATGTCACCAGAGCAGAAGTAACACCCTGAGATTCATCACCCTGGGGCGCCTCTGCTGACTGTATTTTAATAAATGGGCGGAGTCCTCCAGTAGATCACCACAGATTCTCAACGGGTCCTGAGTATCCGTGTTCAGGAGCCCTTAGAGCCGATTGCCACACGGAACACCTCAGTTCTTCCTGACCGATTTATCGTTCATGCGCTCTCCCCAGCGTCCGTAGCTGTAATTTACGCAGCACCTTGAACATTCTTCGGTTTCCGTGAGGACTTAGGAGTTTGTTGCTTAGTTGGCCGTCTTGTCAGGCCTTTAGAGAGACGCTCTCAGGTTTTCAGCCTCTGCGCCTGTGTCCAGATGCCCACGTCGGTGTTTCTGAGAGAGAGTGAGGAAAGCCAACTCTGTAGAAACTTCTTTTTTTTTTAAATATTTATTTATTTGTTATGTATACAATATTCTGTCTGCGTGTATGCCTGCAGGTCAGAAGAGGGCACCAGACCTCATTACAGATGGTTTTGAGCCACCATGTGGTTGCTGGGAATTGAACTCAGGATCTTTGGAAGAGTAGGCAATGCTCTTAACCTCTGAGCCATTTCTCCAGCCCCCTGTAGAAACGTCTTAATGTGCACATATTTTTATTCATTGCAATGCTCCATCCACATCCAGAAATCAAGGGTTGGAGCCTTGGCAATTGTTAAAGAGGCTAGTCTCCAACTTGTCCGTTCCCCGAATGTGGACTATAAAATCTGGTCTTCATTTTTCTGTGGTAGAACCAGTTGGTTGTTATTTGGTGAGACGCATCATTAGCAGTGTGTCTTCGTCACGTACTGAACGAATTTTATTGAATGATGTTTATGTAGTTAGCCTGTGACTCTTTGCTATTTCAGCTCAGTCCGAGTCCTTGGAGATTAAGTTGCTAAGTTTTCCCTCACATTTAACACCATAAATGTAGAAATAAAACCATAACGTTCTCTGCAACAGATAGCCAAATTACAGTTAATACACCACACTTGGAAATGATTATGCAAAATCATTAGCTTTAACGTTAAACATCCTTTGTTCTATGTGAAGAGATATTCAAGGAATATTCTAGGTGGTTTATATTTAATAGTAGTTCCTGTAAATTTGTCTTTTGTAGGGTTATTGATGGGGTGGATATAAACCTGATTTGGGTGTGTTTTGGGGGGGGAATACGGGGATAAGCTGAAAGCTAAATTCAGGGCCTCGTGCATATTAAGTGAGTGTTTTAAGAGACGATTTTTTTAAATAACTCATCGAGAAATAAGTTTTTATAAATTTTCTTTGACATGCGTTTTCTGCCTCAGAAGTAAAAGGCTCTATCTTCACCACTGTCTTTCAGTCTCTGACGCTAAGACTCCAAGACTACACGTTTCTGTCACACATTGTTATCTATATCCCGCCTGTCCATGGAAGCAAGGTAACAGACATATTAGGGTTCTGTGGGCATGCGCGGGGGCTGTCTGTCCACGGAAGTAAGGTAACAGACCTGTTAGGGTTCTGTGGGCATGTGCGGAGGATGCTGATGTGAAACTATTTCTTGATGATTTCTGAACAGATACAGGATTATCTAAAGTGATGGCCAGGGTGGTGAGCCCCCTGGTGTTGTCATTAGAATGTCCCCTCCCTGTGAACTACGCAGAATAAATACAGATCCTTAGCAGCTTTATGGTTTGGGAACTGCAGTGTGGAATTTAGCTGCAATTCCCTGCGATCACAAACCCAGCAGCAAGCCCAGAAACCGACTTCAGATATTTTAGAGAGATACCTTTGGGTTCTGCCTTTCTTGGTTCAGGATCTGTTTCGCTACGCAAAGCTAAGAGCACAGCCAAGTTTTAAAGTAATAAAAAAAAAAGATTCTAGTATTTGAATACCTTCAGGTACAATGGTTGGAACTGCTTTTGCAACCCACTTCCCCATCTCACGATCCACCCAAACGTGCTTTGTAAAATACGGATGATCCTGTTCACTCAGTGGTCTCTAGTCCTGGAGTGGCTGTTTTCTGTAGTGGGAGGATTTCTTGTTTGGCTTCTGAGAAGGAATGAGAGCAAAGCCCTTAGCATGGTGGTTTTGTTTCTCAGCACCACACATGTGGACAGGTCTAGTAGAAGTCTCCCCCACCTTCTTTCCAAATTCAGAAACAGCCGACCATTCGTCCGTGGGCAGAGGAATTACCATAGCTGAGACACCTAAGGTGGAGTCGTCACGAAAGCCTAGGGATGGACTCTGGTGACGACCATTCTCTTGAGACAGAAAACCGTCTTCTAACTATTGTGAGGGTTATATTCATTTTTCTCATCACCTCCTACTGGCCAAAACAGTCCTGTGGCGCTGTGATTCTTTGCATCCTTGTGCCTTTCAGGAACTGTTCCTTCTGCGGAATGCCGAAACAGGCTCCCTGCTCATGTCTAGAAATGTTGCTAGAAAAAGAAAATGTTGTCAAAATAAAAATTGTAGTGGCATGCCACATTCTAGGTTTCCATTTGTGGGGAAAAAAAAGCACATGTATTCATCAGTGAGAATTCATTTTTCCCATTTTCTGTAATAACTGCCTCAACTGTAATATTCTCATAAACAGCATTAGCTATAGATGAATGCAGATGAGTGACTACAGATGCCTTTTACAACCTGGTTAAAACTGCAGATTAAAATCTATAGTATTTAATAAAAAAAATTGTAAGTAACAAAGTTTCATTCCCCTTTTGACTAGGAAAGTACTCAGAGACATATTATCTAAACCCTTCATTATTCTTAGGTTATTTTGCATCTCAGTGCTTTGATCTACTCTTTAATAAACACCGATGTTATAATAAAACTTTGCAATGACTTTGTTATAAAAATGACCTTCAGATAATTTGATATATTTGATTGAGAAATTGCTTACCTAGTCTTCTCAGCATAGGGATTCTTGCCAGAGCTACAGTATAATCCGTGGTGCTTTCTCCAAAGCTAAGGTTTTATTTTTTTTTTTTCCTCACACAAACGTCGAGAGTTTTTGCTAAGTTGAATTCTGTATTTTCTAATAAATTAATGTTGTGTCTCAGTTTTTCATAGACTGTGAATTCTTTAAAAAAGAAGCAAGATCCATACAGCTTCCTGTAACTCATCTTTTCTCCTTTGGTAAGTATTTCGTTTTTGAAGCTTAAGCATCATTTTAGCAGTGCCAATTTATTTTGCCAGTCGCAGAATATTAAATATTAGTATGTCTCAAGTATAGTTCTTAGGAAAGTATGTAGTCAGGTTAAGTGGTCGGATCCTCGCTAAATGCTAGGCCAGAAACCACATCGCAACTAATTCCACCTCCAGGGGATCTGACACCTTTAGCCTCAGCAGGCACCTACATTCATGTACACATGCCTAAATACAGATACACACAGAGATAATTTTTTAAAAAAATGAAAAAGATTGTGTTAGACAAACATGGCAGAGAAGGCTCTAACCTAGCCCTCAGGAGACTGAAGCAGAAGACTTACAAGTTTTAAGGGTAGCCTGCCACAATGCAAGCCATTGTTAACAACAAAACAAAACAACAAACAACAAAACAAAGGATTGTATTTAAGAAAGAGGTCAACATCAGGAAAAGATTGGTAAAGGATATAAAAGAAATCTGTACTCTTTCATAACAACTATGGGTCTAAAATTCTTTCATAATAAAGCTCATAGGAACATTTAAATGGGGGGTGGAGAGATGGCTCAGTGGCTAAGAGTACTGCCCGCTCTTCTAGAAGACTCAAGTCCAATCAGTTCCCAGCAATCACACAGTGGCTCACAACCATCTGTAGGTCCAGTTCCAATTCCCTCTTCTGGGCTCCGCAGGTCCTGCACACACATGGCACACATACATACATGCAGGCAAAAACACCCATACACATAAAAACTAATAACATATAGTCATGAGTCCTTCATAAGACAGACAGCAATCTAGATATACTATGTGTTCATGACAGAACCAAGTGTGGTTTCCTATGGATAAGCAGAAAAGTCAGGATGACTGTGCTGAAGCCAAAGCACAGAATCAGAGAAATAAACGAGACTTGTTCACACAATAAAAACCAAAGCTAGTTCTCTGAAAAAACTATAAAATGCAGCCAGGTTTGGTAAAAAAAAAAAATTCACATAATACTCTACACATATAGAAGCGCTTGGTTACTGCAAGTTTATATAAACTATGGAAAATATGGAAAACTATGGAAAAATACAGAGGAGATTTGGAATGAGAATGGCCCCTGTGGGCTCCTGTGTTCCAATACTTTGTCCCCAGTGAGAGGAACAATTTAGAAAGGATAGGAGGTGTGGCCTTGTTTGAAGAAGTATTCCACGTAGGTGGGCTTAGAGGTTTCAAAAGCCTGGGCTTGGAGGTTTCAAAAGCCGGCTGTGATTTCCAGTCTCTCTCTGCCTCCCTCCTTCTTTGGGATCAAGATGTGAGGTCTCGGCTGTTCCAGGCTCCAGGCCTCGGCTTTGCCCTTATGTCTTCTCATTGGAGACTTTGCTTTCTAAGATGCCTTGGTCATAGTGCCTTATCACAGCAATAGAAAAGCAATGAGAAAGCATACTTCTGAGTTCACTTCTCGGGAACCCAGCTGTTCTCAGCCCCACAATATAGTTTTGAACCTAAATTAGTATTGTTATGATATTTAATAACCTAAGCAGGCCTTATTTATGGCCAGCTTTTGCTTCTGGTCTCCTCTAGGGTACTGCATTGGGTTTGATTGTGTTTCCTGTAACTCACGTCAATTCCTCAGTCTTCCCATGACCTTTATCAATTTGAAGCATTTCAAGGGTACTCAGTGACTTGTAGAACACCCCTTCATTTGGATTTGTTTGCTGTGACATTTTCAGGTTGAGCTTAAGTATTTTTGCCAAGAACAACACAGAATTAATGTGCATTCCTAATGTGTCAGGATGCACAGTGTTAATAAATCTAATTGCTGTGGTGTTAATTTTTACCTTTGGTTAATTAAGGTGGTGTCTACTAATTTCTATACTATGCAGTTACTGTTTTACCTTTGCCATTAATAAATATCTTGGAGGAAATAATTTGAAAAAAATGTTCAACTAATTAATTTAAGCATACAGTGGGTCTCTTATTCTTTAGCAAGTAATTACTATTGCATTCTCCATTTATTGAAATCCTGCCTGAGATAGAGTAGCCTCATCTCTCTTATTTATTAATTTATTTATAAGACAGTATGGATTAGTGAATATATATTTTGAGTGGGGCCTAGCTCAGTGGTGGAGTGCTTACTTAGCATGGATATTTTATTCATGGGTTATAACAGTGTTAGATGTGCTCTTGCTTTGGTTGTTCCAGCTTTGGCTTTTAGGGGCTCTTTTAGCTTCATTGCTGTACCTTTTCGTAAGCTACATCCTTCAAACATGTGCACACACACAAGCATAAACATGTGCGTGTATCCCTTTCGTGAAAGGGATAGGAAACTTCCTTTAAGGTTTTTATTCCCCTTCCCCCACCTGGGTCCCTGTTTGGGGTACAAAATGCTCAGAAAAATACAAAGGTAATGACTCTGAATTACCTGTTTCAGTTAAATGGCATGCTTTAGAAAACATCTTCCTAAAATTGGAAATAAGGTACTTGCCTTTAAAAAAATACCTCCAGCATCAGAAAGTCATTATAAGTACTGTTTTATTCAGCATTTTCTGCATGAGAATTTATTTTTTGCTACCTTTATATCAGCAGTGAAGGCCTCTTAACTTCTGTTTTAGACAGTCTCTGTTGTAGCCCAGGTGGCTTCAAAAGCTCATCACACAACCACACCACACCACACCACATTCTAACAAATTTTCTCCTAATTTCAAAATTCTCTTGTTAATTTTAAATGCTTTTTAATCAATAGGTCTATTTTTGAAAATTCTCCAGCTTCTAAATAATGCAGTACTTTCCACTCAACAGGATTGACTTCAAGGAAGGTCATATTAAATCTGAGAGGCCTGTACTACAATATAGAGCTTCTGAACTTCGAACAGGTAATTCCCTTGCGTAGAGCAGGAAGAATTTCATCTTCATTTGCTCATTAAACAAATTTGCTTCACTAAACAAATCAACTTTGGGTTTTTGTCTTTGTCAAACTTTATCAGATATACCAAGCTTTTAAAGTCAACGTGGTGAGCAAGTGCTCCAAAGGCAAAGGTGAGTGTATGCGTTTCATGTGAGGAGCCAGTGAGTTGCTTCGAAGTCTCTAGAAAGCTTATTTCATCTTTTTTCTTTCATATGTTTTATATAGAGAAAAATTAAATATATGATCATAGGGACATGTTTCTATTTTCAAGGAATTTATCCTAGACTCTTTCTTCATACTAAACCACATTCATGTGTTTAAAAGTTCTATGTATTTGGGGATGGGTGAGATAGCTCAGCCGTTCCCAGAACCCAAGTAAAACTGGAAGAAATGAATGACCCTCAAGAAGTACCCCTGACCTCCAACAACCATGTGCACTCACACACAAGCCTCATACACAAACATAATAGTAATCATATTTTTTTTAAAAAGTTAAAGTACTGTAGATCTTTTTTTTTTTTTAACAGCAGCAGGTTCAGGTTTGGCTCTTGAATTTTGTTTTAGATTTTTAGTACTAATTTGCTTTAATATTTTTATGAGTCTGATATTCGGTAATCCTTCATGTGCACCCATATTTTTGTAAAATGGACACTTTATATACAGTAGTCTTATAGTTGGCATACAAGTTAAGGTAACACTCAAGAGTAACGCTTCTCCCCTTTGTTTCTTAACAGAAGGAAAAACCAGTATCTATAAGCTTCATATTCCCTGGTCTTACGAAGATTCTCTAACCATCGCACAGTAAGTACATGAAAGAACTTACTTTAAACTTCTATGTCTTAAAGTGGAACCTGTGCTTTGTTTATTTAAGTCATATGCATTATTAAAATATCTTTTAGGACCGTGTATGAATCCTTTAATGTCATGTCCTTTAACATATATGTACAGTAATCTATTGGAAGAACCGAGCACTTACGTCTTGCTTGGACATGTGTGTCTTACCTTTATTTCCACAACTCCACAAGTGCTGGGGGGGGGGGAGCCAAATAACTGTAGTGTGCTTGGAGGTGTCCACACGCAATAATGCCTGTGTCGTTTCCCTTCCTCTACGTTAGTTCGTTACATTGTGCTGAGAACTGGCTGGGCCATGGCTGTTGGCCATGGTTGTTGGCCATGGCTGTTGGCCAGCGTTTTATATTTGAGGACTGATATTTCCATAATCTCTTCAGGGTTCCATCGTCCACAGAAATTTCTCTGAAACTTCACGTTGCTCAGCCAGAAAACGACAGCCACGTGGCGTTGTTAAAAATGTACACAGTGCCAGACTGTAAATATGAGGTAAGACATACGTTTGTGTCATTAAGTATGGTTTAGTTATAGACAAACAGAGGTCTTTTTTTCTATTAGCTGATGTAGAAGCCCATAAATATGAGAAATGAAACTGCTAAATATTTTCCACTTTGTTTCTTTACCATATTTTAGTATTTCTTCTCTTTTATGATGCTTAGTGGTCTAAACAATTAGAATATATTCCAAACTTTAAATTTATGAAAAGGTTAGTCTAAATTTTAAAGCCCAGAATCAAGAATCTTTCCTAAATTGAAGAGCTTCATTTAATTAGCCGTCATGCTAATTAATGTGTATAGTATAGTATATTATAGTTAACTAAAGTAACAGTCATGATGCATACAGGTTTGTACCAGTACTGGTTTAGTTTAAGGCTCTTGTATTTCCTAAAGATCTGTATGCTTTTCAGTGGTGGCATAATGCCACTCTGGCTTATATGAAATATCTTGTTCCTGGTTGACATACATCAGTAATTCTGTAATGGGAGTCTCTTCTGTAGGGCGGAACAGGAGCTAGCACTCTGGCGGGATCTGTCCTTCCCGCCGAGTTTCAGGTGCACCTCTGTAAAGAATTCATTGGCATCTGATGGACTTCACGGATGGTATTCTGTAAGGAAACTGAAATCTGCGCTTTAAGAACTTCAAGTTTTTACCGTTGAGGAGCAAGTATATTACAAAATATACAGAATGGAAAACTGGCCTTTAGACAGTTAGTATGGTTTGGGACGTTCTGGAAGATCTCTTGTGTGATTGTTCAGAAATCACCATATTTAAAAGATATGCAGATGTACTCCATTTAACAAAACATAAAATGCGTTTGGGAAAATTAATCTCTTTTTTTAAAAAATTATTTTATACTAGGTGACAATTAAGACTTCCTTTCCACAAATACTTGGACAGGTAAGAGACATTAATGTAAGTTGGTTGATTATTGCTTTGTGATTTGAAGGGGATTTCAGTTTTTTTCAGTAAACTAGTAGTTTTTTAAGTAAGACCACAGATTTTAGTCTTTATTATTAGAACTTGCAGAATTGTACAATATTGATTAAGACAGAGAAATTAATAGAAATTAATATAAAATTTATATTGGCACTCTGATTTTTTGAACTTTGTATTTTGTGTCTCAGACATACTACTTTCTTGAATCATAAGATAATTAGTTAATATTGATGATTTTATACTTGGTCATGATTATAATTTAATCCTTTTTTGTAATCCAATTCTTAAAATTGAATTGGAAACATTTTTGTATGCATTATCTCATTTGAACCTTACAACAACCTTTTGAGAGTTAGATTTTAATTATTGTAAAGTTTGTGACATAATAAAATTCAGTTAATGTATACCTTTTTTTTATAAATCTTGAAGAAACAAGCAAATTTTAGTTTGAGTTATAAAATAGCATCATAAATACTTAAAAATTCATAAAGAGTCAAGGAACCAATTAAAATTGTTATTTGTAATATAAAATAATTCCTGCTCTCATGTTTTCAAAGTCTGCAGAAGACTTGTCACTTGCATAAACAGGAGGTGGACATCAGCTTTTATCCATAGACCCATGGCCCATATTTCAGATTAGTGATGAGAAAATTCAAGTGACCATAATATGCGATGATCAAGGACGGTTATACCAAAAGAGGACAGGGTAATATTTATGTTTAGATACAGAAACCTTTCTGAAAAGTAAGATTGTATTAGCGTCGCAAGAGCAAAGGTCTGTGCTTTCTTAAATGTCAAATAAAGAACTAGTGTTAAGTCCAAAGTTACAAAATGGAAAAACATAAATTCTTCTTTCATCCTTGGTTGCTTGGCTTGTGGATCTAGGAGAATGAGTTACTGTGTAACATAGCTAAGTATTTGGTATATGTGTATTTTTAGATTTATTGCTTAAATTAGCACACAAAGTATTATTAACATTTTTGAACTGTTTTAGTAAATTCTCCCCTATTCAACCCCCTCTGCCTTCCCCACCTTACCTCTCCCATCTCCTTCCCGTTGTTGAGGAGAGGGATCTCTGCAAACACTAGAGCCAACAGAGTGTAGGTGGAGACTGCTTGCTCGCTTCCTCACTGCTCAGATCCGAATAATCACACAGAAACTATATTAATTATGACACTGCTTGGCCTATTAGCTCAGACTTCTTATTAACTAACTCTTACATCTTAACCCATTTCTATTCATCTGTGTATCGCCATAGGGCTGTGGCCTACAGGTAAAGGTTCTGGCGTGTCTTTCTTCTTCGGCAGCTACAAGGTGTCTCCTTGGCTCCACCTACTCTCTCTTTATATCTCTGTTTGGATTTCCCACCTGGCTTTATTCTGTCCTGCCATAGACTGAAACAGCTTTATTTATTATCCAAGCAAAGCAACGCATATGCATAAGGACATCCCACATCAGCAGAGTAACTCTCCCCCTGTCTCCTTCCATTGTCGGGGTTGGAGTCTCTGCAAGCATTGTGGCCAGCAGAATGAGGAAAAGGACGTCTGGGTCACCATAACTCAGTGGACAAAAGGAAGTCTGGTTCACCATAACTCAGTGGACAGTTTGGGTATAAATTACTAGAGTCTGACATTGGGTAGTTAATTTTACAACTATCTAAGCACAGCACAATTCGGAGAAAAGTTTCCTGTGATAATTAACTCAGTCCTGTGTGTACAACAAAAGCTTAAGACAAAATCCTTGTAAGGCACAAGTAGCGTCTTCCATAAAGACAGGTGCTCTTGGTTAACTGAGGAAGCAGACTCAAGGTAAACAAAGCTCCTGATAAGGATCTGGGGAGGGCAGAGCTCTAGATTGACTGAGATAAACATCTGGATCTGGGGAGGGCAGAGCTCTAGATTGACTGAGATAAACATCTGGGTCTGGGGGAGGAGAAAGCTCTAGATTGACTGAGATAAACATCTGGGTCTGGGGGAGGAGAAAGCTCTAGATTGACTGAGATAAACAACTGGATCTGGGGAAGGAGAAAGCTCTAGATTGACTGAGATAAACATCTGGATCCAGGGATGCTACTGTCTCAGCCCCCTGTGTGGCCACACGCAAGCTTTCCTCCTTCTCTCTGTAACTAGAGGGTTCTTTACATTTTCCTTTGACATTAGCTGCAGTGAATGTTGTTTAGGTTGATTGACTGAAAAATGGCATTTTGTACCTTACTCATTTTTCTCTTCCTTCCACTAAAGCTATAAGCTGAACATGGGCTATGCATCTGCATCATTTTCTGATCTCCTTTGACCCAGAAGCCTCTTACCTATCAACATTTCTAACCGCAGAAGGCTCTTGGTCTCTGAACCTAAACCTGTTTTGCCTGCTAAGTGGGGAAGAAACTCCTTCAGAGGACCTGGGGGGCTGGGACGCAAGATGATGCCTGTGAAATGCCTCTACCAGTCCCAAAACACTAAACACCCAGCAAGCCTGTTTTAAAGAATACTGCAAAATCCAGGAAGATGCTGCACTTTTTGAAGTTTTATGCACTGTTTTGTGTTAGGCTTCGAATTCCATAGGCTCTTATCAGGTTACCAGATAGTGTGTGTTATGAAGGGACCCCGTGGAACGGAGGAAAACTTGAAGCTAAATTAATTTTAGCATTATGAGAAGTACTTAATGTGCCTATATAAAAATATCACAACCGAGCCTCTCATTTTGCTTAGCTATCATATGCCAACGGAGCCATTTACTTAACATGACTTTTAATACCGTCTATCCTAAGCAGGGTATGTCCTCTTGAAGCCCTGGAACATACGGTTGTGAGCTTAGGCTGCGTTAAGTTCAAGTGTCGCGGGATTTCCGCATTTAGAGAAGGTTCATAATGGCCACTGTGGATTTCTGATGGCTTGTCTCGAGAGAGTTGGCGTTCTAATTGCTCTAACCAGGGGCTGTACCTCTATAACCACCTGTAAGCACTGGTAGTGTCCCCCTTTTATTGATAAGCACACAGATGAAATAAGTTAACCATTAAAACATTTGTAGTGGTACAAGGTACAGGGCTCCCCATACCTGAATTCTTCTGCACTTAAAATAGGGATGAAAATCACTTCCAAGGGTTGTTTTTGAGAGCGTGAGATAATGCATACAAGGTGTCAGGCGTCTTCACCGAACCCTGGGTGCTCAGTAAGGACGCCGTGAAAAGTACCGTGTGCCGTGGGAATTCATCTGTGCCTCTGCTGAGAAACTCAGCTGCTTCTAGGACGCTATTCATTATTAATGTTTGTTTCCTTAGAGTTTTGATGCTCCTTACTAGAAATAAGGGTGTGGGCCAGCCAGAGAAAGTGCAAAGTAAAGAATAACCTTTTTTTTTTATCCTGTGTGAAAGTTTCAGCAGCATCGATGTTTTGTAGCTGACGTTGGTCTTGCCTGTTTTCCAGGTAGTTAGATTTCACGGTGGAGCTTTTCCTGCCTACGTGGTGTCTAGCATCCTGCTTGCTTATGGAGGACAGTTGTCTTCTGTCCTCTCAACAGGTAAAAGTACCGACACCGTCAGAGTTAGTTTTGCTTTCAGTGTGAAAGTAGAGCCACTGTTAGTTCCATGGCATTTTCCCTGTGGATTTTGTATGTTTTGGCTTTTTCCGGTACTGGAGATCAAAACTAAATCTTGTGTAGTCTAAGAACTGCCACTCGGCTTTATTCCCAAGGTCATACATATTTAGGTTATGCTGAATTGGAAGGCAACAATAAGAAAGTTCTTAGGATTAGCTACCACCACTGTTCCTGGAAACTCCAGGATAGCGTGTGGCTTTGTGTCCAATCTTCAGGTCGTTAAGGCATTTTCAGTACCTTTGCCTTTCTCCCTCCCCTTCCTCTCCTCCCTCCCCTTCCTCTCCTCTCTCCCCTTCCTCTCCTCCCCTTCCTTTCCTCTCCTCCCTTCCCTTTCCTCTCCTCTCCTCCCTCATTCCCCTAGCCTTTTTATCCTAAACTTTAAGCCAATGCTTCATTACCAAACACTTTAAAACTCTTACACATGGCTGAAGAACACAGAAGAAACAGGCACTGCCGCCCGGCCTCACAGGGGAAGGTGGGGCGATCTTAGCCTCACTTCTTCCCTCTCTCCCGTTCACTGCTGTTGCCCAGAGGCCTCCAGAGCCAGCACAGTGAAGGACAGAGCGGCTGTGAAGAGATGCAGAATATGGTTCCCAAGAGGCTAACCCCTGGACAGTCTCAAAGGAGAGGGGAGGTGGGAGAAGAGTGAGGCCAAGCTATAGAATCGAGGAATCTTCCCCAACATGTCAGTGCGCCAGACCTTCTTCTGACTACTCAGTTCTTGTAATGCCCTTCAGGAAACTTCAGTGGCCTTTGCGAATTTATTGGTCATATTTAATCTGCTAACCCATATTCTCTGTGGTCTGCCCCAGAACCAGCCATTTTCTTAAAAAAAAAAAAAAACTGGCGTTTTGCCTGCATGTATGTCTGTATGAGGGTGTCAGATTCCCTGGAACTGGAGTTACAGACAGGTGTGAGCTGCCATGTGGGTGCTGGGAATTGAACCCGGGTCCTCTGGAAGAGCAGCTTATGCTCCTATGACTGAGCCGTCTCTCCAGCCCCAGAACCAGCCTTTTTTTTAAAAAAAAAAAATACGATACAAAGTATTAAATATTATAACTTTTTTAAAGGAAGTATATTATAATTGATTTTCCCCTAGTCTCCCCCTTCCATCTTTTGGGACCCCCCCTTTTCGTGTCACATGACCCAGTGTAGTCTTCCCCTGCCCCCTCAGTGCCTTTTCACTCTTGGTCTCCTCTGCATTTTAGGCCCCACTCCTGTTTGCACCCACTTACAAGCATGCACACATGCGTGCAAACTAGGCTCTTCATAGGGAGCACATGCAACTGCTGTCTTCCGAGTTCCAGACCTAGCCTTGTAATGGTAGAGCTAGTCTGGAAGTGTGACGTCAGCCGGGCCCTTAGGATGCTCGTTGGTCTTTGGAAAGAGACTTTTTACTGCTTTGTTGCCGCAGACAGATAAGTGGTCCCGAATCGCAGAGAACTTGCCAGGCTGTCTGTGGAGACACTTGGACATTAGAAACTAGCTTTTCTAGAGGACTTAAATGCACGAGTAGGTCTCAAACAAATGAAGGGGCCGTCGTGCACCAAGTATGCAAATCACAAGTCACCTGCAGACTGTACCTGCTGGAATGAGCCCAGTAAATGATAACACGCCAATAAGGAAGTGGAGAGATTGGAACCGTCATGCAAAACTGTGGGAAACAGTCTGACCGTTCCTCAGCGGATGAGCAGGGTTGCCTTGTAACCCAGCACCTCTGTTCTCAGAAACACGCCAAGGAGAATTGAAAGCCTTCATTCACATAAGAACATGTTCACGGGGCTGGAGAGATGGCTCAGTGGTTAAGAGCATTGCCTGCTCTTCCAAAGGTCCTGAGTTCAATTCCCAGCAACCACATGGTGGCTCACAACCATCTGTAAAGAGGTCTGGCGCCCTCTTCTGGCCTTCAAGCATACAGACAGAATATTGTATACATAATAAATAAATAAATGAATGAATAAATAAATAAATAATTTTAAAAAAAAAGAACATGTTCACAAGTGTCCACAGTAGTTCTATTCAAAATACCAAAGCAGTCGCTGAAAAGATACGTTCACCAATAAAAAGAAGGGCCAAGGGCATTGCTCAGTGGTAGGGTGCTTGCCCAACGGCTCTCACTGCGTTGGATCCCCCAACACCCCCCAAAATCCATATATATACATATACACACAGACACATATATATGCATATTAAAATATGGTTGAATCTTGACCAGTATTGACTGAAAGAAGCTGACCACAAAGATCACATAGCCTGTGATTCCATTTACATCACGTGCCCAGAAGAGGAATCTCTATAATGGCAGCAGCTAGATTAGTGACTGCGAAATGGTGGCTAATTTCAAAGCAGACAGTGTCTTTGAGGTGATGAAAATGTCCTGAGACTGACTGTATGGGTGACCAAATACACTAAAAGTCCTTGAACCTGTGGACTGTAAACGGATGGATTCTGTGGCGCAGGAATTGTATCTCAGTAAAGCTCTTCCTAGAGTCACCCACTGATGTTTATAGAAACACTGTAAAACCCTGGCCTTGACAGCTCCCATTGCTTGATGAAGACTAACTGTGTGGGTTGCGGTGACCCTTCCCAAGAGGACTCTCTGTGGTAGAACGAGAGACCCTGCAGTTTCCGGTGTGCAATGCTGTTCTCTTGTTGTATGTTACATTGGCATTCAGAGATAACGTACATTTGTTTAATTACTCTGATTTCCTCATTGCCCACAAATGATTTTTTTAATCCCCAGGTTATTGCTTAGACTACGCAACCATGTTGGATAAAGAGGCCAAACCATACAGAGTGGACCCTTTTGTGATTATGATTAAGTTTCTGTTGGGGTAAGTTGTATTACCTGTGATAGTGATTTTAATTTTGTTCGTAAGATAATTATGTTTTTATTCCATAATGTAGTATGAATTTTTATATGTATTTGGCAATTGATTTTTTTTTATTAAACTGGAACTTTTAGGGGGAAAAAAAGCCCAATGTATCTATTAATATTTATCTTCAGAAGAAAAAACATTTATCTTCAGTAATGTGATCATTTCAAAAGTAATTTCAGACTTTTATATGTAAGTAATTATATATTATATGTCTAAAACTCTAAAGCTTAAACTTTAACCAGGTTAATATCTGTTACTGATTTTCTCACATTTGGTAATTTTTTTCTTTTATTCTGTCATTCTGAATAGCTGTTGACTTCCTGACTTTAAACATGTAAATACTGTATTAGTTCATGCTGCGATTGGTAAGAGTCAGGTAGCTCCCAGGCCTCTTGGTCTTGGATACTTAAAGGATTATGAGCCAAGGCCTGGGACAGTTGCTTGGTAGGTAAAAAGTACTTACAGCAGAAACTGCGAAAAAGTGGTTGTGGCTGTGTTTGCTTGTAAAACCCCATTGTTGAGTGGCCAAGGACAGCCGGCTCCCGAGAGCTTGCTGGCTAAAATGGCAAAGCACCAGTTCGGTGACAGACCCTCTCCTAAGGGAAGAAGGCATAAAGCTGTAGAGGAAGGTGTTCAGTATCCTCCTCTGGCTACCATGCACACCGCACACACTCACACACATACACACGCGTACGCACATGCACATTGCACACACATACACACATGCACACACGGAAGGGAATGAAGTAAAAGCCATGCGTGCTTGCCCACACTTGTAATCTCAGTATGCAGAAGGCAGAGGCTGGAAGAGCTGTCCTTCAAAGCTAGCCTGAGCTACCTAAGTGCTTATCTGAAAAACAAACAAAAAACAATTAAGATTTGTTTTCAGTATATTTTGCAAACTGTCTTAGCCCTTTAAAGCTTCTAACAGACAGCTGAACATCTCAAATAGAAAGTTAAACACTAGTGTTTGGCATTTTGGTTTGTTTTGCTTCTATTTTTATGGTTCCCTCTGTCCATTTTCCAGGTATGGATGGTTTAAGGAGTTATGGGATACGCTGTTCCTACCAGAATTAGAGGCCATTGTTCTAACCAGTCAGAGTATGTGTTTCCCTCTGGTGTCCTTGATTCTCTTTCTGCTCGGAACCTGCACCGCGTACTGGAGTGGGCTCCTCTCTTCGGCATCTGTGCAGCTCCTTTCCTCACTGTGGCTGGCTGTCAAAGGGTAAGGTCGTGCTCAGAGCGTTCTTACTCCTCCTAGCGGAGAAAATATTGGGGCTGGAGTGCAGCCTGGCGAAAGAGCTTGTGCCTAGTGTGTGCCAGCACCTGAACTTGGTCCTCAGCACTGAAAAGTCAGGAGGAGGAGAGAGGAGGGGCAAAGTCCAAAATCATATGTATGTACAGACATATTCCAGTAGGAAACCTTACAACTTTTAGTTGTCTCTTATTTTGTAAAGACTCTTACTTCTATTATCAAACTTAACGGCAGAGGATGTCAGTCTTGGCCTTTACCATCTGATGGATTAAGGCCCTAAAAACAGCCTGGTTGTATTACAGGCCCAAAAGCAGTTTGAATTTAAACTTACTAGTGGCTTTTCTGATAAAACCCCAATCTAGTTCTCTTTTGACTCCGCCACGCCGGGTGACTGTGATGTGGTTTCCTGTCACACGGGAGGTCGTAGATGCTGCTGCTTCCTTCACCACTCAGAGGGGGTCTCAGGTTTCTGTTAGTGAGACTCCAGGCTCACAGGAGGAAGGACTGGACATGCCTGACACAGGATCTGCAAATCATCGTCCTGTTCCTCTCCTGGTACAAGTTCCAGGCATAGTACAACTGATCATGAAAACCATCCTCACAGTGTGTAGAGCTGCTGAGAAACATGTTATGTTTCCTTTGTGTTTGTTTTGGACACAGTTTAGGTTCATAGTTTGCTCTGTGTCCCTCATATACTAATAACTCGCCAGCTGAGGAGCTGGTAGAGCCCTCCGTCGGAAATGCTCAGCCAGAGACGGTTCCAACTCCAGACTTTCTTAGAGTTTGAAATGTTCGCATATACGTTAGGAAGAATCTTGGGGATGGCACCGGGATCCAAGTACGATATGCATTTGTCTCACATTGCTTTGTATACGTAACTTGAAGCTTATTTTACAGTTTCCTCAACACACCTGTGTTCTGGCTGTGGCCCGGCATACGCGGTCGCGACTTAGATTGCTCCTCTTGTCGCATGCGTGGCCCTTGGCCGTTAGATTACATCGTCTCCTTCTTCTGTGGGCTGTTGGATTTCAAAAGAAAACTTTGTTCCTTTTATTCTAGACCTGTTGAGCTTCCCAAAGATGTCAGGTCGTCGGCCTCAGACTTGCCTTTCGCGACATCTTTCTTTTTCATAGTGAGCTGGACCACCTGTGGGGCCCTCTCCATCCTGCTGTCTTACCTGTACTATGTGTTTAAGGTACGTCGGCTCAGTAAAGCCAGAGGCCCGGGCTCGGTATCCGGCACCTCTAGAAGCCCCACAGGCATTATTAACCAACATTGTGATTACTCCTGAATGCAACCCTCTAGTACGTCAGAAAGTTGGTGGAAAGGTTTTTTTTTTTTAATTTTAATTTTTTTTTATATCTTGGTTATTTAACTTGTGTTTAGTTAAGTATAGAATTGACATAACTGGTCTGAGTTGGGGGTTTGGTTAAAACAAAGGGAGAAGATATAATCTGTTTTAGGACCCTTTTTGGTCTTAAGATCATTAACTTTTTAAACCCTTTTTTAGCATAGATTGACTCACACCTTTCACACGAGGAGGCAACGGAAAAGTTAGTTTTAATCGAGTTTAAACTGATCATGTGGTGGACAGTCACAGCACACTGGATATTGTTTTTAGTCTTTATCTGCCTCTTTTTAAACTAAGACATGCACACTGTAGGTTATTTTCAGTTTTTTAAAGTCACTTCTGTAAATCTGGAAGCCGTCTAAGCTACTTCAGTCTATAAATGATATGGTTAGGTTCTGTTTCTTTGGCTAGACATTTTTTTAAAAAAACAACTCACTAGGGCTGGAGAGATGGCTCAGAGGTTAAGAGCACTGACTGCTCTTCCGGACGTCCTGAGTTCAATTCCCAGCAACCACATGGTGGCTCACAACCATCTGTAATGAGATCTGGTGCCCTCTTCTGGTCTGCAGGCATGGAGGCTGAACACTCTGTGTACAAAATAAATAAATCTTTTAATAAAAAAAAAAAAGACTCACTAGACAAAAGTCCCTCAGATATTTAACTCGAGGGAAACAATAAATTTATAAAATTTTCTCAAAGTCTTGTAGATATTTTACCACTACATATAATGGAACATTTTCATATAATATTGACTATAATTAAACTTTGATCTATGAAGCATGTAAGATTGCTATAGGAAGCCCTTATTCAAGCATAAGTTCACAGGACTTGAAATGTCTTTGCCTATTCTGGAAGTTTGTATTGTTTCTGTTTTGTGTTTTTCTTTTTAAATCCTTAAGTTAGCATCTTTTATGAGTTATCTTTCTTAGACTACTGTTTTCAAAGGCTTCAATGAGGCCTGGTTGCTTATATTTGTTGATGTTTTCATTATTGCTTATTTTATACATATGAGTGTTTTGTTTGCCCTGTGTGTGCAGTGCTCATCAAGGCCAGAAGAGTGCATCAGAACCCCTGTATGTGGAGTCCTGGTGGCTCGAGCCCTGTGGAGCCTTGGAACGAAACCCAGGTCCTATGCAAGAGCAGTTAGTGCTCTTAACCACTGAGCCATCTCTCCAGCTCTGTTTTTTATATTTTTGAAAATTTCATATTATAATGCTTCTTAGTTTGAAAAAAAGTCTATTGTTTTGTTCCAAATACATGTGAAGTTAGTCATCTTCTCTTCCCAAGGTCGTCCATCTGCAAGCCTGCCTGACGACGTTTAGAAACAGCCAGAGCCAGCAAGTGGTGAGCTTTGTCTCCTAAGCACTGCACACTGATATAAAAGTCCGTGAGGAAATAGATGTCTGGGATTTGATTGTTGTGTTTTGAAGTCGTGAGGGAGGGCGGGCGTTAGGATTTTACAGTGTTTAAAAAGAATTGCGAATGTAAGTAACTTTGAGTAAAGTGAAGGAATAGTAAGGCAGACCTGAACTGTCCTGTTTAACTTGCTCCTGGGCTACCTTCACCTTCAGCACTTTGCTGTTAAAAAGTACATTTTGAGTTATTACTAGCAGCAGAAAGAGAAGTCAGACACGTAGCTCAGCATGGTTACATATGCACCCGGAAGCTTGAGCCAGGGCAACAAAGCAAGATCTCATCTCAAAACCAAAAAGGACAAACTGTAGTGACGATAACAATTTTAAAGTACGTCACGGACTAACTTCAGTATTTTATTTATGGTTGGTAATAAAAGATGATGTAGTCAAGCAACGGACCATCATTTATTCTAAGCGATATCATGAACTTATTTTGGTTTATTCCTAACTTGACGTTCTCATGTGATTGCTTCCTAGAACACCAAGCCCTCAAGAAGAAGTGAGAAAAAGGCCAACCACTACAAAGACTCGTTGGTGCCGAGTCTCCGCCTGTCTGCTCAGGATGTCGAGGACAGTCTGCGCATGCACGGCACCGTGATTAACCTCCTGACCTGGGTGGTGCTGCTCAGCCTGCCGTCGCTCATCTATTGGCTAAAGAACCTTGGGTGCGTGATTGATGGACGTATTGCTTGTGTGGTTAGACACTAGTGCTCTCTCTGTAGAACCTTTCCGAATTCCTGATTATAAATAGTCTCTAAAAATCAGCCGAAGGAAGCGATGTGCATTTTTTTTTAACCAACAAAAGTTTGTTTTTTTTTTTTAAATTTAGAAACTGGTTTTTATTATGTGTGGTATACAAGATAGTGAGTTTGGTTGTGACATTTTCAGACATGCCTCTTACTCGGCGGAGGTCACCTTCTCTTGTCCCAGCTTCTCTTTTCCACTGGTCCCCTCTTCTTTCCAACAGGACTGTGTACAAACAGCCTTTTTTTAAAAAAAAAAAAAAAAAAAAGAAAGAAAGAAAAAAGCTCAGTAAAATACCTAGGAATCAACCTAACCAAGGAGGCTAAATGAAGCAGCGGTAAAATTTGTCTGGAAGTGCGATGGATTCCACATAGCCAGCGTGATCCCGAGGGAAAGGATCTGTGCACAGCGGGGCCGGCGGCTACTAAGTTATGAACGAGCGTGGATGCTAATTGACATAAATGAATGGAGACAATGTAACATGTGTGCACACACAATGGGGTACTCTTCAGCCAGAAAGACCGAAACTGTGTTGTTTGCAGGAAAATGGATGGAATTGGAAGGGTATCCTATGAAGTGAAGTAAACTAGACTCAGAAAAGTGAATTTGTTCTCTCTAATATGTGAAATTTAAGAAACAGATATGAAAGCACTAGAAGGCTCTGTAGTATCCATTGGAGTTTTCCCAGGATCAGCTTGAGTCCGTAGGCTGCTTTGTATAAGGAACCATTTTTACAGTATTCTTCCTGCTGATCCGTAGGAGGTGTTTCAGTCTCTCGGGTTCCCTCGGTTTCTGTCTTTGGTGGTTTATAGGTTTCATTGCGGAGATCTTTAGCCTCCTTGGTTAATTCCTAGGTGTTTTGTTGACTTTTTAAAGGCTGTTTGTACATGATTCTGTTTTTCTGACGTCACTCTCAGCGTGCTCACTACTGACATAGAGACAGATGTTGGTCTTGTGTCTATGACATCACGCTCAGTGTGTTCACTACAGACATAGAGACAGATGTTGGTCTTGTGTCTATGACGTCACTCTCAGAGTGCTCACTACTGACATAGAGACAGATGTTGGTCTTGTGTCTATGACGTCACTCTCAGCATATTCACTGCTGACACAGAAACAGACTTTGGTCTTGTGTCTATGACATCATTCTCAGAATGTTCACTACAGACATAGAAATAGATGTTGGTCTTATGTCTATGACGTCACTCTCAGCGTGTTCACTACAGACACAGAAACAGACGTTGGTCTTGTGTCTATGACGTCACACTCAGCATGTTCACTACAGACATAGAAACAGACGTTGGTCTTCATGTCTGTTACTTTGCTGAAAGTGTTTATCATATCTAAGAGTTTCCTGCTGGAATTTTGAGGGACTTTCATATTTTCTACTAATAGGGATGGCTTGACTCTTTTATTTTTATCCCTTTTATTTCATTTTCTTGCCTTAATTTGACTGAAACTTTGAGCATTATGTTGAGTAAGAACAGCAGAGTAGATATCCTGCCATTGTCCTGGTTTCAGAAGAAGCCCTGCCGGCTTTTCTCCCCTTGGTGTAAAGTTTACTCTCGGTTGGTCATGTCTTTCCTTTACTTTGCTGACCTGTTATCTTTGTAGTCTTGGATCCTTAGGGCTTTTTTCATGAATGGATTCTGAATTTTCTCAAAGGCTTTTTTTTCCCATCTAATGAGACGATCACATGGGTTTTGTCCTTTATTTTATCCATGCATTAAATCATGTTGTTTTATTTCTGTGTCTCTGCATCTTTGCACCCTTGGGATGAAGCTGGCCTGATTGCATCTTTTAACTGTGTTGTTGGGTTCAGCTTACAAGTATTTCATCGAGAATTTTGTGTTGCTTCTTCCGAGAGAGATGGGTCTATAGTTTCCTTTTTGTTGGCTCCTTGAGATCTGATCAATACTGTTTTGCAGACTGACAGTGTTCGTTCTCTTTTATGGATTGATTGACGAAAACGGATGTGTGTGTGTGTTTTAAAGTGCTGATTGAACCTGTTTACTCCTAGACTTTTCTGTGTTAGTTTGGCTCAGGGTTTGTCAGTATTGCTTACCATTGCAGAGAACCTACTCTTTATTTCCTCACTCCCCTTTATTGTCCCTTGAGTCTCTAGCTCATTATTCCTAATGCTTGCTTCCGTCTTCTAATTTAGAGTTTAATTTGTTCCCTTTTGCAAAGACCTTTGTGTGCACCACTAGGTTGTTTGAGGTCTGTTTTTTAAATGTAGGCCTTTAAAGCTATAACAATCCTGTTTGAAGTCCCTTTGCATGATTCCAAAACTTCCGACAAGCGATGTTTTCATTTTCATGTGATTCTATGCTTTTTAATTTCCCTTGATTAAAGAAATCAATCCCACCGATCATACGGAATTGTATTGTTTAAGTTCCACATGCTTGTATGATTTCCGTGGTTTCTTTTGTTGTTGATTTCTAGTCTTGTTCTGTAGAAGGGAGCTGCGGGCCGCTTCCCGCCTCCTGGCTCCCAGCCGCCTGGCTAGCTTATGCCCCGAAATAACAACACACAGATTGTATTCTTTTTTTTTTCAATTTTTTTAAAATTTTTTAAATATATTTATTTATTTATTATGTATACAATATTCTGTCTGTATGCCTGAAGGCCAGAAGAGGGCACCAGACCTCTTTACAGATGGTTGTGAGCCACCATGTGGTTGCTGGGAATTGAACTCAGGACCTTTGGAAGAGCAGGCAGTGCTCTTAACCACTGAGCCATCTCTCCAGCCCCCAGATTGTATTCTTTTAAACACTGCCTGGCCCATTATATCTAGCCTCTTCTTGGCTAACTCTCACATCTCGACTAGCCCATTTCTAATAATCTGTGTAGCACCACGAGGCAGTAGCTTACCGGGAACAATTCTAGCCTACGTCCATCTTGGGCCGAAGCTTCATCACATCTGACCCAGAGAGGAGAGGCATGGCAATTACCTCACTTCCCTTCTTCCCAGCATTCTGTTCTGTCTACTCCACCCACCTAAGGGATGGCCTATCAAATGGGCCGAGGCAGTTTGTTTATTAACCAATGACCTTCCTCCATCATTGTTCTATTATGATTTGGTAAGGAACAAAAAAATTATTTTAGCGTCTTAAAATGAAGACTTGTTTTAAGCCCTAGCATGTGATCTGTTTTGGAGAAAGTTCTGTGGGCTGCCAAGTGTAGACATTTCCCAGCTGGTGGGTAAAATATGCTGTTGGCGGCGGTTAAGTATGTTGATATTTGAAGTAGTTAAATCTGGAATTTGACGGAAGGGTATGTGACTATATTGTCTCTGAACTTTTGAAAATTAATTAATTTGATTCTGATCCTTTATAGCTAACAGTCCTGCCTTATTGATCTGTCTTCTTCTTATTCTAGGTATTATTTTAAACTTCAGCCCGACCCATGCAAACCCCTGGTGTTTTTCCTTACTCCAGCTATAGGGATGCTCGGAAATTCTTACACAGTGACCATAAAGTCAAGGTACAGTGGTTTACGTTACGTCTTCGTCTACTGCTGGCCTTTATCATTTTATTTCTTGAAGTATGCTTTTTATTTGTATTTAATTAGACTCTCTAAAAGTAAAGCCATGGGTGATAGTGGTTTATATGCAAGTGTAGTTCATATGCAAATATATTCTGCTTGTTTTCTTAATTGTAGGAGTTTTGTTAGGAAATGGGTCAGTTATTTTCTTTTAAAACTTAACTCTTGGGGCTGGAGAGATGGCTCAGCAGTTAAGAGCATTGCCTGCTCTTCCAAAGGTCCTGAGTTCAATTCCCAGCAACCACATGGTGGCTCACAACCATCTTTAATAAGGTCTGGTGCCCTCTTCTGGCCTGCAGGCATACACACAGAGAGAATATTGTATACATAATAAGTAAATAAATAAATAAAAATAAAACGTAACTCTTAAGTGGTACAATAGCTAAGGTTTGACTTCCCCAAAAGTATAGACGTCATATATGTAGATGAAGTTGTGACTGAATGATGACCATTTGAGTCGTCTGGGTAACGGGCGAGGGCTTTGTGCGCTTGGGCCTTTTATGCGGATGTGTTTGAGGTGCTTGTAACAACTCTTGGTCTTCTTCTTGGAGCCTTTGCTCTGGGAGGCGCTTGCAGCTTTCTGGGATCAGGCCCCTGAGGATTTAAATCCTAGCATGGGAGCAGAAGTGGGTCTGAGCGCATGGGAGGGAAAGCAGGAGGCTCTGCAGCCAGGGCCATCCTCAGCCATTTAGAATTGGTGGCCAGCCTGGGCTACGTAGGCCCATGTCTGTAGTAAGGAGGGGTGTTCAAGTTCAAATACACCGCATAAGAAAAGCAAGAGCGAATCTTGACTTGGTCGTGTCGATAAGATTTACCTCTAGCCTCAGTTTCTCCATTTTCAGTGTAAAAATCTAAGGGGTTTCCCCTGGAACTAGTTTCTCTTTAAATAGTTAATGTTTTTGGTTTATATAGTTCCTTTCTAAAGAAAAAGATGCATAGTCTTGTTTTGTTTCTCTCTTTTTTCATTTTAATTTTGCAGCTGTTAAGTAGGATTAAATTATGCATTTTGTAGCTGTGTCTTCCAGAACATTATTTTGTTAGGCTGTGTTTTTAGGGTGGAATTGTGGAATGAAATACCAACTGGTATTTTTCTGTTAAGAAATGAGTAAGGATATAGCCGTTCTCTGGATAGAAGTGTGTTTCCTTTATCTGCTTCAAATATGGTTTTTGTGGAGCTTTATAAAAACTATAGACAGTTTTCTTTCAGTTCATTAAATGCAATCGCATCATTTAAAATCACCTAGAAGCCAGGTGGTTTGGCATGCTCCTGCCATCCCTGCGTTCCGAAGGCCGGGAGGATCGTGGGTTCAAAGCCAGCTTGGTTTATAGCATATGTCACAAAGCCTTATCTCAGAAAACCAAAACTCAGATGGCACAGGTGGCGCACAACTTAAATCCCAGCACTCAGGAGGCAGGGACAGGCAGGTTTCTGTGAGTCTGAGCTGAGGTCATCGTGGTTTACAGAGCAAGTTCTAGGCCAGCTAAGTCTAAGCAGTCAGAACCCGTAAAAAACAAAAAAAAAACAAAAACAAAAAAAAAAAACTAAGGAAAAGAGGATAATCAGGAAACCAGAAATAAATAAACAGAATTAAATAATGTAAACAAAAATCATAACTGAGTTTCCAGGGCTGTATAAAGGAGGAACATATTTCTGTTAGACGCGAATGAAGTTTGTCTAACTGTGCGTTTTTCTGTCTCTTCCCAGTAAGTTACTGAAATCGACCTCGCAGCTTCCGCTTCCCCTGGCCGTGGGTGTGATCGCTTTCGGCTCCACCCACTTGTACAGGGTCCCGAATTTCGTGGTCGTCCTTCTTCTGTACCACGCGTTAAGCAACTTCATGTAAGACCGGGCTGAGAGGACGGTAAAAGGGCTTTACGCCTCAAGGACCTGCGATACCGTGAGCGCAGCCCCACCAGCCGGCACAGCGAGGTCCTTCGGAGAAGATGCGTCTATTTTTACAGTATTGGAAATAGGAAATTAGTTTTGTAACGCGTGAGGAAAGCCGTCGAAGCATGGTTTCATTTCGCGACGTAGCGTCTGTGTTCTCGCCGTGCCTGAGGAATGAGCGAGGGGCACTCGTGTACATACCAACTAGCCATGCAGTGAATCTTCTAGAGACTTAGTAGATGTGGTGCTGTTTGTGGTCTCCCGTGGAACTTCTGCTGGCTTCACCAGACTTTATTTGAAAAGTGGGTTTTCTGTTTGCTATCACTGACATATTCAGAGTAGGTCTTAAAAGGTTAAAAGTCACAGCTGTTTCGCAGAAGTGAGACAGTCGTGAAGGAGGCTTTGATCGGTTTTTTTTTTTTGGCAACCATGGGGAGCAAAGTTCGATCTGTCTTCTTACATCTATGAAAAAGGGCCTCAAAGGGAGACTTTTTTGTTAGCTATTAGACTTCAGATTCAAAGCAGTGACTTTTCTTGAGCCTTTAAATACGAATCTTGCTGTGCACTCTTGGTGAATATTAAAAGCAAGAAAGATCTCCCGATAGGTCTGTTATCAGAAGACTTTCCTGGTGAGTACCACATTGGCACATTCAGTTTCTGCCCCTGCTTAAGTCAGTGCCGATGGTTGCCACAGGTGCCTCTGGTAATGATAGGGTATTAAATAGCTACATTCCAGAGTTGAAATAACTTGGGATTTGCATCATCTCTGGTGTCCTGGGAAGGAGAGATGTCAACACAAGGAGAGTATTGCCCTTGATAGGGGAACAGTAGGCAGCCATTGCTCCACGGTACTGAGAGAGTGAGGCCTGTCTGAGCCGGCCTCCGCCCTGCCATTGCAGTTAACAGTGAAATCCTGGCAGGGTTCACTCCCTGGGACTACAGTGAGGGTAACATTTTATTTCATTTCCAGTTCTCATTCGTTCTCAGCTACAGAAAAACAGAAAGGCAGGGAGCTGAAGAACAGAGTTGCTGTCCGCCTTCTGTTAGGAGAATCTCTGTCTGAGGAAGTCCGGGTTCACAGAGCCCTTCACCTCCATGTGTGTTCTATAAATGCCCAAAGCCTCTCCAACGAAGCCCTCGCGTGTGGGTGAGGTCACGGGTGGACTTGTGAGCGCGTGCACTTCTTAGTCCCAGGATGGCACTTCGGGAACCAGTCTCGTTTTATCCGCTGTTGCACCGGGTACCGCACCGGTACCGCACCGCACGGCACCGGGTACCACAGCCTCTCAGCCGCCACTGCCAGCCAGAAGGCTCCTCCCACGCCAGTCACTTTGGCAACTGGCCTCATTTTCCCCTGGGAGTTCCTCCTTGAGTCTTTCCTGTTTCAGAATTAGTCAGAGGGTGATGGTGTTACCACCGGGGTTCGTTAGCTTATGTGACTCCGTTGCTGTCTTGTCTGGCATCATGCTTGTTAGGTATTCCTATTCTCACTTACTAAGACTCCGAAAGGAAAGCAGTTATATTAGATGTGGCAGACGTCTTAGTCTCTTGTCGCAGAAATGTATCAAACAAACAGAATAAACTACGCCGTACTGTTCATTCAGTATCTGGGAGAGACCTCATCAGATCATACAGTTTTCTCACGGTATACCACACACACACACACACACACACACACGCACACGCATATAGATCGGAAGTAGGGAAAGAGTGT